ACCGACGCGGTGGCTGCTGGACTTAGTGTCACTTACTAGCTATTGTACTGGATACTCTACGGAGTAATTTAGTCCTGGAAGAAACAAAAATACCGTAAGACTCTGTATTTCCATTTTATATTAATAAGAGACGTTTTCTCCTAGAAATTTTGCCCTTTTGATTTGGCTGGGACCTGGATCTAGGAGTAACGTACAGGAGTGTTCCTATTGGAAGCAATTAGGACAGCCACCGTCGAAATAAAATCTACAAAGTAGGGCAGATTTAATCTGCTCTCAAAGACTTGCTTGAATCAGGCTTATTCATCAAATTGTAAACATCGAGTTCTGTAATGGCCATAATGTGCAGAGTGTTAATGGAGTGTTTTAAATGAACTAGAAAGAGAGGAACCTCTACATACATCATCGAACGTGTTTGAGAATACCTGAGCTTTCTCATGCTCGTCTTCTACCAATGGTGCAAGGCTACTTGTCTCCACACCTCTTCTCTTGGTCTGTTGGTTGATATATGATTTTAGGCATTCTGAGTACTCTATGGCCTCGCTTACTAGCTTCTCTTCACATACTCATCTAGACTTTCGAGGATTCGATACACAAATATTTCAGGCTTTTTAATGTCGCATCTCACCATTTGTTCATCATACTAACTTTGAAAAATAATCAGTTAAATTGTTCGATATTTACATCAACCATTTTTTATATTTATAATAATTCGATAACAGTATCGATTATTGTATTCATGATTGTGCGTATACATACTGAGTCGCTAACACATGTCTTGCTTATTATTGCCTGACTGTGAATACTTAGTCATTGCTTCAGCGCATGAGGGTTGGCTCACTTGCCTTCGCCAGTTCGCTTCGCTCTGGTTTCGAGCTTTTCGTTCTCATTTGTTTCTGCTTAAATGAATGCATGAAATAAATTAATTCGAAGAGCTGTATTTGGCTTTTTATTACTGCCATCGCACAAACAGAGATAGCCTAAATGTGACGTACGGAAGTGGAAAGGAAGATTTATTTCATTGCGCACACTTCGAACTTAACATGAGCTACCTCTAGCGAGCATCTAACCTTGGTTTCAGTTCTTCTCCAGCCTCTCGTTTTCTATTTCCGTCCGCGAGCGATTGGTCTCTGTTGACGAAAACTACAGTTAATATCCATCCCATGGTATTAATTCCCTTTCAACGGAAGATTTAAAATTATTTTAGGCAAACTAGTTTAATTTTCCTGTGACGTTATAAAGCTTCCTAGTTTATTAACTTTCCGCATAGTGATCACAGGGTTTTTTAAAGGCATCAGAGTATTTAGTAGACCTTTTATCAGCCCGATTTCATGGTTGAAGCCGATTTTACCTTTACCATTTGCACAAAGACAAAATCATTGGTAGTTGGGTATTGTCTTACTGATAATTTCGTTCTTTAAACTTTGACTTCAATAATTCATTATTAAGCCTGGAATCATTTCCAACGAGTTATTGGTGGATCAGAGGCAATCTGATAATGACATACAACATACACTATGTACACCGAATCATCCTAAATTGAACATCTTGCCGAAGAACCACCACGGCGCACCTTGAGGTAATCCTCGAAACATTGCAAATCAAAGAGCAAACACTCAGGTTGGTGCAAATTGTTTTCTCATCAATAGTTTTTGCAACAGAAAATACCCTTTCAGGAGATATGAAAATAGCCCACCTCAGTGAATAGCTTCGAGATGAGACTAGATGAACATGAACTCATGTATGAATTATCATCATTCTCTTGGATCACTGGTGCCTGATACATGTCTCAAAACTTGTTAGTTGTTGTCACTGTTATTCAGTCAGATAACGGACTTATTATGCCCTACTTGTAATCTCTGTCCATTCTGTCCTGCTGACACACTTATCCTCTCAAGCAATCGTCACTGACAATTCATTAAATTATCTAGTTATTTATTATTATTCTTAAATTTTCCCCTCATTTAGAATATTCATATTGCTACTACTAATCCACGGCCTGGTATTATGATAGTAGCTGGCATGCAGAAACCTTGATGAATTGAGACTAACTCATTTACTCAAATCGTGGGACAAATTCATAAGGACTGCCAACTGACTGTAATTAGTGTAATAATATAGCTAGGCTACCGTCGATTGAACACTGCCAAATACCTGAAGCCGTACTAAGAGAACAAGAATCGACCCCAAAGAAAGAAATTTGCTTATACTTGCTGAAGAAGCAGATATTAGATATTGAAACCACTGGACAATTGTCCTTGAGTTGGGCGCCGTCAAGAGGCTTGAGAAGTAGTGGTAGCTAAGCCCTTTCAGAATTCATTTCGAGGTATGGTACATGGTTTCCCCGATTTTTTTTTTTGTAAAGTAAATTATGGAATGTAAATATAGAGTATTTTGGCTTTTAACACTTTTCGAATGCTTCTGGTTACGTGATAGATCATATCCGGTTATTCCCATGTATGCTACTTGAATATTTTTAGTTATCACTAGTCAAACGCAGTCGTGTGCACCGATGCTTTGACCTATCAAAGTTTATCAGTGTGGTATACTTAAAGAATTTCTTGGTCATATTTTCCAATTTCTTGTCCTCATGACAACGAGCAAATAAGACAAAATAGTAGCAGGTCATTAGTAAACAGTAAGGAAAAGAAAAAAGCCACTGCGTATCCAAATCCTCTCCGCTTCGTAGATTCTCACTTTAAACTTTCTTCGATTCCTATTTATTTACTTTGTATCTTGGTTTTATGTCCTTAATTCCACACTTTCTCATTAATATCCCCACACACCAATTAATTACTTCTTTTCCTGTTAACTCAATGCTCCACACTTGCTCTTCCAATAAAATCAGATCACATTAGCTGACAAAAATTCCTAGCAGAATGGTCGGGTAACTAAATGTAGTGTACTTCAAGGAAGAATGAAGTTCGAATTAATAAGTTCATTATCTGTAAACTTGTATATCATTTACCGGTATTTTCGGGATAAAATTGTTTTTAGTAATCTATCAATTTTTTAAAAATTATTGGACGAGTAAGTATATACAGAATGGTATTGTGAATCACTCCTAAATAACTGGCTTTTCAGAAAGTGTAGTGTAGCATGCTAAGAGCTTCGTGTGAATTGGTAGATAGATACAAAACTTTGTTTTCATTTGGATGTCATCTTTTCATGAGTACAGGCGTCTTAAGCATACAAAATTTTTAGTGAGGATACAAATAACACTTGTATAGCGATGGTCATATGTGAGTCCATCAGTCAGCAACAACGTAGAACTTCGTACGTACGTACGTACGTACAAGCTGCCATAGCACGTTATCAAAGAGATCCAATTGTCAATTTAAATCCCATAATGGTAGAAGTAGTAGAACTATTAGCAGTAATAGGAAAGATTAGGGTTTGAAGATGTTATTCAAACAGTATAATCTAGTGAAATAAATGTGAGAAGAAAAAGATGAAGGTTATGAGGAGTTCAAATTAGAATATCGGAGAACACAGTGGATGCACTTGTGCCATTGCAAATGATCTTGAGTCATGTCATTCAAGGTCTCTAACCATCGGTTACTATCGTCTTGCGGACCCCAGCCATGTAGCTTGTATCTACCAACATGACTCAGTCCACTTGTCAATGATTTCATGGATTTGTTCCATGTTTTGGTCTGGCCGCCCATAACTTTCTTCCAACGTACTCCTACACCACGAAACATTGCTCGTCGAGGCAGTCAGTGGTTGGGTATTCGTAACACATGTCTCAACCACTTCAGTTGATGAAATTTTACTAATTCATCTACTGATCTACCATCCTTACCTAGTACCTGTTTCCTAAAAGACTGCATTGCTCGCTCGATTGTCCCACCGTATAAGAGCACTGTTTTAAAGGTACCGATGATCGAATACTAATAGCCTAGGAATATCTTTTACTCTTACCGGCTATGTTTCACAGCCATTAAGTGGGATGGAGCAAACTGCTGTTCAGTAAACCCGTCGTTTGGTTGGTAGACGAATATCTCGTCTACACCATAAGTGACGCATGTTCGCGAATCATATGTAAGTAGGGAGAAGAGATTCATTTTGTTGGTTATGGTTGCTCAGTTATAGAAATGTAAGGGTTTCTTCCCACACTTTGTAGATCCAGCTCACTTCTTCGGGCCTTTAGAGGAAACGACGAGTCTCAGTAAAAAATGGATGCCCTGTTCACTAGCCGTTGCTGATATATTGATCCCCTAACATGGGTTTTTTTATCCATGGTCAGATATAATACCGATGTTTGAACTAGTTCTTACAAATTGGTTAGCAGTTTTTTGAACATGGTATTTTCGAGTTTGATTATGAGTGTCCTCGAAGCATCACTCGTGTATTTTGAGACCATTGAGTTAGAGATCCTGAGTTTAGTCATGCGGCGGTATATATATATATATATCAGGTTGATTAGTTATATAGTGAATCTCCACCAAATGAGGTGATCATGACACGTTACAATTATCCAACAACCGCCTACCTCAGATGGCTATGTCATAGGGTGTAGGAATAGTTTCGAAGTAAGCTGGGAGCGTCCAGACTAAGACATGGCATCATTTCATCGAGCCATCAGTCGACCTTTAAATTGAACCATGTTTATAGATGTAGATTGATTACATGATTAAAGTTCGCTTGATTATTTTAGGCAATCATTAGAGATTTGGATGTGATACAGGTCAGAATAGTTCACACTGATGCAGGTTTCTTCATTCGTTGTCTTCCTTTGAAATCCGAATCTCTAAATCTCCTTATGCCTTTCTGCTCTCTTTTTTACTTAGTCTTCTATTACTGTTATTATTATTATTATTATTATTATTACTACTCTAAATATGTCTTGAAATAATCTTATCTCTTTGTGTTAATGTCGTGTGATAAGCTGGATCGACAAACATGCACATTTTTGTTGAATATGACCGACTTATTTAATCTTTAGATAGATTCAAAGATAATGTTTATTCTCTAATCCACTTATTATCATTTATTATTTGGCGAAATAACTCAATCAAGCAGCATTGTTTTTATTCAGATAATGACTGAAAAAGAACACAATATAGACTCATGAAACTATTCAACGCTGTTATTAGGAATCGGGTGCTAGGTAAGAATGGCAGATCAATAGATGAAGTGCTGAAACTTCATCATTTGAGGTGGTTGGGACATGTGTTACGTATGCCTAACCACCGACTGCCTCGAAGAGCTTTGTTTTGTAGTGTAGGAATATGTTGGAAGAAAGTTAGGGGCGGCCAAACCAAAACATGGCAGAAATCCATGAAGTCATTGACGAGTGGACTGAGTCATGTCGGTAATTGTCGACTACCTGGTTAGGGTCCGCGAGATGTTCGTAATCGATGGTTAGAGACCTTGAATGACATGGCTCAAAATCGTTCGCAATGGCGCCGGTGCATTTATTCTTTGTGTTCTCTCAAATCATAATCTGGATTCTTCAACACCCCTGTAGTTTTGACTTTCGAAACTTTTCTCACTGAATCATACTTCTTGAATAATATCTTCTAATCCTAACCTCTCCAATTACTTCTAATACCTTTACTACCTCTTCTACTATTGGATTTGAATTGACAATTACATCTCTCTGTGTGCTAATGTGGTATGGCAACATGAACTGATGTACGCATATACGTACGAAGTTCTACGTTGCATTTGACTGACTGACTGACATGAAACTATTCCTTCATCGTTATTCACTTAAGCATCTTCAAAACAGTTGCACACTTATTGATTTAGTGAAAAAAGTACTTTCTTAATTTAAATAAATATGAGCTTTAAATTAGGTGTAGTAAAATTGTCAATGGTTTCTTGTTTTGTATTACGGGGTTGTGAAGATTGTTAAGTTAACCGTTTTCGAAATCATCAATCAATCAATCATTGTTAAACCACCATTAGAAACCTGGAAGACGGCCGTTTCGTACTGGTATGGGACTCCTTAGTGCGCATCCACGATTCCTGCACCCCGTGAATTTGATCAAGTTAGACATTAACAACAACACCGTTAGATACCGGCTAAGTGGTCTAACGGTTAGGACGTTCACGCACAATACCGAAGGTCCTGGGTTCGAATCCTGTGGGGGATGCAGGAGTCGTGGATGCGCACTGCCACTACTGATGAGTCCCATAGCAGGACGAAACGGCCGTCTTCCAGGTTTCTAATGGTGTTGGTCTAACTAACATTGATCGATTCATGATTTCTTATTTTGTTCTGTTTTTTTTTTTAATTTTCTTTTATCGTTTATCACATTTTCCTCTTTAGTAATTAATTATCTTTGTGAATAAACTATGTGGTATGAAATTGTCCCGTCGCTTGCTATTATAACTGGATTAATCGCTGCTCTTCCACCTTTGATACATGTAACCAGTTATGCATGTTTTCGTAGAGTAAGTTGTTCTTTCATCATCGTCATCATTTTCAACATTCACCTTTTTTTTCTTTCTTAGTGGTCTCCACCGGATTTATTTAAATTTAAACAAGATTTCTATTTACATCTACGTGATAAAGATCTTGAAGGACCACTTTTATTTCAAGTAAATTTGTCAAATATATAATTAATGTATGATTATTATTATTTTAATTTTTTTTCAAGGAATTAGACTACATTAGACATGAATAAAGAATGAAATTCTTTTTTGCAATGAATATATATGCGTGACTCACTCACTCATTTTCTCTCGTTCTCTCTATACATAGACTAAATTAGAATAAAAAGGTTGATTTAAACAAATATACTTCTTTTTTTCGTTTTTCTTCTTGAATTCTCCAATAAAAGAAATCGATCTTTGAATTGTCTCTGTGTGTGGATATTTTGACGGAGTTTCATTGTGTCTGTGAGTTCAATCAGTCAATTACAACGTAGAACTTCGTATATGCGTAGATAAGTTTAGGTTGTCATACCCTATTAGTACAGAGATGCAACAGTCAGTTCAAATCCCATAATGGTAGAGATAATAGAAGTATGACTGGTAATGGAGAAGATTAGGATGTAGTGAAGGAGAACACAGGTGAGGGCAACCGAATTGTATTTAACGAAAATTACAGAGTTACTCAGTAAAATAGGAAAACCATATCGTAATCCGTTGTTAATTTGCAAATCTTCAATCCATCGTCTGACATTTCACTCACTATTCATGCGTTTCATACAAATTCCATTGTATTCCCACTCTTCCTTTCTTGATCATCCGCCATCTTCTGCTGCCAGACATTACGTTCACACTCGCGTCATATACTGCTTATAAGTAGCGCGCACCACAAGGGTTCGAAGAAATGATTCAAGAAGTATAATGCAGTGAGATAACTTTGAAAAGAGAAAGATAGAGATGATGAATTCAGGTTAGAATTTGAGAGAACACAATGAATGAATGCGATGGCGCCGTTGCGAACGATTTTGAGTCATGTCGTTCAAGGTTGTCTTGAAATTGAACTTTAAAATGTCTCTCTCTGTGTGTGTGGCATATTTTGATGGAATTTCAATCTGTCTGAGTTAGCATATATACGTTTTTTGCGAATTTACATCGTTACACAACACATTTCACAGCTGATAAGTCTCAAATAGAATGAACGCATGTCATGAACTTCAGGATCTCTGTTGTTTAAGGATTCAAAGAATTATGATATAAATTTCACAGATATTGTAGCTTGAATCTTTTGGACATTTAAGTACTGTGATAAGGAGATAACTGTGAATTCATATTGTGAATAGTAGTATTTAATGAGTTTTCTGTTTATAGGCTATGAACTAGTGTAGTGAAGGAGAACACAGGTGAGGGCAACCGAATTGTATTTAACGAAAATTACAGTTACTCAGTAAAATAGGAAAACCATATCGTAAACGGTGAAATTTGCAAATCTTCAATCCACTGTCTGACATTTCACTTATTCATGCGTTTCATACAAATTCCATTGTGTTCCCACTCTTCCTTTCTTGATCTTCCCTCATCCTCTTCTGCTGCCAGAGATTACGTTGACGCTCACGTCATATACTACTTATAAGTAGCGCGCACCACACTAGTATTTCTTCTTGATGAAAATAAATACTTTGATATTTTTGTTAATAATGTTGCATATTTTAGAATAATTATTTACTTAAACAACAATCTATCTCATTCTAACAAATATGATTAAATTGGGAGGCAATTCGTATAGAATAAATACACAAATGTATCATCGAAATCCGGTCTTTTATGTCAACCACTGGGTGATTCTCATCTTCATTCAGAATAATATAATTACTATTATAGAGGTTAGTTTGAACACACCCACTCTATGATGACAAATTTTAAGTCAGCGAATTACGGAAATCCTCTACTATTAGTAGCGATGTTTCATACACTTATAATAGTATAGGACAGATCCAAATCCTGGCCGCTAAACTCATTCTTTGGTTAGCAAACAGATATCTCGCCTATACCATCAGTGACGCAGGTTGGCAAAAGCCAATCGAGGCTTGTATATATGTGCCGATATTTTGGCATACACCAGGCTATCAGGTATGATGAGACTCTCAAGATAAGTGACAGATACAACGCAGAACTTCGTACGTAAGTACATCAGTTCAGGTTGCCATACCACGTCAGTACAGAGACGTAACTGTCAGTTCAAATCCAAGAGTGATAGCGACAGTAGAATTATTAGCAGCAATGGAGAAGATTAGGGAGCAAAGATATGATTCAAAAAGTATAATTCAGTGAGATAAATTTAGAAGGAGAAAGATAAAGATTGTGAGGAATTCAGGTTAGAATTAAAAAGCACACTAAGATTGGATGCACCTGCGCCATTGCAAACGATTCTGAGCCATGTCGTTCAAGGTCTCTAACCATTGGTGACTTTCGTCTCTCGAACCCCCAACCAGATAGCCTACATCTACCAACATGACTCAATCCACTTGTCAGCGACTTCATGGATATCTGTCATTTCTTGGTCTGGCGGCCCCTAACTTTCTTCCAACCTACACCACAAAACATAGTTCGTCGTGGCAGTCGGTGCTTAGGCATTCGTAACACATGTCCCAACCACCTCAACTGTTGAAGTTTCACTACTTCATCTATTGATTTGCCATCCTTAACTAGAACTCGTTTCGTAACGATAGCATTCTCAAGATAAGTGAAGCGGTCAATATACTCAACTACCTACGCAAGCTAATAATGAAGCAACTAATTCTGAGCTATGTGACCAATGTCAGAAGCAAAAGGTTTAACAGTGTACACACACATTCATGACTGATGATAATTTGTTTGTTTATTGTTTCATGTGTTGTTGTTGTGGTAGTACAACTTCTACCATAACTATATTTAATTCTTAAATAATATGTCATGTTCCATGATGATAGAGCAATAAATTACTATCCATTTGAACTTCATATGTGACTGCAGCAACTGCACCATTGTGTTAACAATGTTTAACATTTTTGAAACCATGAACCGATCAATGTAAGACCACCATTAGAAACTTAGAAGCACTGGACGGCCATTTCGTCCTGGTATGGGACTCCTCAGCAGTGCGCATTCACGACTCCTACCGAAGGTCCTGGACTCGAATCCTGCGGGGTGCAGGAGTCGTGGATGCGCACTTCTGAGGAGTCCCATACCAGGACGAAACGGCCGTCCAGTGATTCCAGGTTTCTAATGGTGGTCTAACATTGATCGGTTCATGGTTTCAAAAATGTGTAACATAACAATCTTCAAAACCCCATAATGCAACAATCTTTAAGTCAAATCCTTTAAGATTTCTATTCACACAGATCATGACAAGATCGTTTCGCAGATTCTAGCAAAGACGCATATATGTCGCAGACAACAAGTCATTGCATGTTGCTCCAAACTGTTACAAGTTCACCTAACTCGGTAAATGGAACGAAGATCAACGATGCAGTGACACGATAGGCTATTCTAATCCGATTGTCTCAGGCCCCGCTAACAAGAGTGTAGAAAGTGTATTCTACAAGCACCCCAGAAAATACGAGGTTGCTAAGCATACCAATCAAGCCTATTTATTCAATGATGGAAACACCCTTGGGAGACCCACAAAATAGCGTACTAAAGTAATTCGTCAACCAATGACAGTCAAGGATTTTACGAGTGGGAAATGTAAGCTAAAGCTGAACTTAGCGTCTCTTGGCGCGAAAACATAGAAATTCGGAAATAAATTACAAAATTAAGACCTTTTCCAAGTGAGTTCCGGAGATCTAACGTCCCCAACAATTGAAGAGAGCAAGGATTACGTAATCAACCAATTTTAGGTTATAACTAGTAGACGGATGGCTGTCTATCATCCATTCACCAGAAGTAATAGTGTGTAGGTAGTTTAGTTAATATTTATCACTGGAGCGAGTTGACCTCCTACAATCTCTCAATCTCCCCATGAAATCAATCGGTACTACACTATTATCATCAAGAAAGCACAAATTTACAATTAATCAGCTCATATTTATTGAATACAAATATTACAATACAAAATATCATTTCATAAGAGTTACAAGCTTATACGCGTGATTTCTTCATTTTCTTGTTGTTGTCATCAGATTCTAACACACAAAAACGAAAGGAAACAGGAAAAAAAAGAAATAGATGATAGTTTAATGTATGACTGGTGTGTACTGGGTCAAAAAGGATGGTTAAGTAGTCTATAGTTCTCTATATATATATAGTTAATACTGACTAGGCGGTGCAACCGTCAAACATTTCATTCTACTTTCCGGGCAGAGTTTTGTAGGTTTTGTGTTTTTACACATTTGAAATCATCGTTGGACCAACATTAGAAACCTGGAAGCACTGGACGGCCGTCAAGTCCTGGTATGGGACTCATCAGCAGTGCGCATCCACGACTCCTGCACCTCGCAGTATTCGAACCCAGGACCTTCGGTATTGTGCGCGAACGCCTAACCATCGGACCACTGAGCTGGCCGGCATCCAACGGTGTTAATGTCTAACTCTGATTGATCTACGGATTTTTGCGCGACCTCACCCATTTGTCTTTGGTAGTTGGTTACTGCCTACACCCGACAAGGTTGAACTCCATTAGTCACGTCTTCTCAACTAGAACTCCGAGAATTTCCTCACGAAGAAGCTAGTCACTAGTGAGCACATATTACGATATTTTCGAGCAGAGTTTTGGAGGTTTTGTGTTTTTACACATTTGGATGCGCACTGCTGATGAATCCTATACCAGGACGAAACGACCGTCTTGCAATGCTTCCAGGTTTCTAATGTCGGTCTAACAATGATTGGTTGATGATTTCAAATGTGTAAATTTCATACTACACATGATCTTAGCTGCTGAATAGTTTTGGAACAATGACCATCATGATGTGAAACCTAGGGATGCGAAGACAGTGAATCGAATGTTTATTAACTCATGTAACTTTGAATTTACTTAGGTGTAAGATTTTGGTATTCAGTTTTGTAGTACACTTTGTGTGCAGTGAGTGACTAGTCATGATAACTGATAAAATCTTTAGAGTCAGTTACAACGTAGAACTTTGTATGTATGTATGTACATAAGTTCAAGCTGCCATATCAACCACATTAACGCAGAGCCGCTATTGTCAGTCCAAATCCAATAGTTGTAGGGTAGTAGGAAAAGTATCAACGGTAAGGCAGAAGATTAGGATTCGGAGATATTGATTCGGGAAGTAGAATTCTGTGAAATAAAGGTGATGAGGAATTTAGAGAACCCAAAAAGTGAGTGGATGCACCTGCGCCATTGCATACGATTTTGAGCCATATCATTCAAGATCTCTAACCATCGATTGCTATCAAGAATTTAGGAGAGACATCTTTTTACTAACCAGGCGACGAATTTACTTTATAGTAGTTCACTTCGCTTTAGCTAATGGCTGTTACAATATGGACCTTAAAAGTAGAAGACATTCATAAGTCACTAGTATTCGATTACCGATTTTACAAAGGCATTTCTCATGCATATTGCGTCCACCCGAGTTGGTAATTCTAAAGTTTAACGTAAAGTACTAACTAGGTAAGGGCAGTAGTAGTCAGTTTGTGAAAGTAGTAAATATTTTTTTCGACTGTAGGAGCAAGTTGTAAGGAAGCTAAGGGTGACCCAACCAAAACTTATTCGCCTATCGACCGTATCATTAATATAACAGAGGGATCAATGTCTCAATTGGCTATATCTACTGATTGAAAGCTGCTAGTAGATAGATGCTTGTATACATGTTCCTATGATTAACGTATCTTTAAACAAAAACAGACTACCTTCATTATCAATTGACGATAATTTCCTTTTATGCAATTGGTTATTCGAAGAAGAAACCGATGTATCGATTTCGTTCATTGTTTCCATTGGTTGAGATGTTGTTACATCATCTAATGATTGTTTAGATTTCTTTTTCACTGGACCATTCCATGCTATACCAAGAGCATTACGTGTAGCTTTGTGTAGATTACGTCGTTCACGAATATGACGAGCACCTGCCGATGCACGATTGCATATAATTTGAATAAGTTGATGATTTCCATCACCTAATTGTTGAGTAAGAGCAGATTCTGTTGATTCAATTAATTCAATTAATTGATCCGGTCCTGCTTTAGCCATTCCAGCGGTTACAGATGCAACAAGGCTGTTTGCACTCTCTGGTCTAATTGTACCAGACATAAGTGCACGACGAAGGCGAGCCTAGAAAAACAATAAATGGAAAAACAATAACCCACTTAGTAATTTATAAAATAGTCTATATTGTTTAAAAAATAAACTTTCAGACAATAAGCAGGATCTTAATCTGTGTTTTTTTAGGTTTAATATGTGACTCTAAGTGATGTGTATCGACGAATTCCTGTAGGGTTTGTATGTAAGATATCGAGTTGAGCGTGTGGTGGCCGATATCTGCGTGTTATCGAAGGAAGCGAATAGACAGGAGAAGCACGTTGGAGAAGGCTGTTGAGTCAGCTCCTAGGATTACGATGCGAACGCATGGGCAAAGGGAGCGAATGAATAGACGAAGCGCGTTGGAGAATGCTAATGAGCCAAGGTCCGAGTCCAGAAGAGGAAACACGGATCGCTGACTAAGGATCCGGGTCCTAGAACGTTACACAGATAATGCGTATTTATACATTTAGGTCGAATAGGAAACAGCATCGAAGTCTGTGACATTGACAGTTAAGACGAACAATAGGAAGCAACATTTGAAGTGACATTGATAGTCAGGACAACCAATAAGAAAAGAACATTGGAGCACGTGACATTGATATCTACTAGGACGATCATAAAATTGACCAATAGGAATTAACCAATAGGAGGAATAGACCAATAATAATTCACTTAGGATTATTGGATGAATATTCTAACAAAAAACATATACAACCCCTCCCCTAACCTGTGCTCTTCTACGTCTTGATTTTGCTCGGACAGTTAATTCTTTCGATAAATGCATACCACGTAGACGTATTCTAGCACCAATTGCACTTGTATCATCTTGTACTACAACAGTTGAAGCTAATGATGCTGCAGCAGTAAATGCTAATCGTTCACGTTGACGAAATTCTCGACTAATCAATTTAGAAGCAGAACGTAAATAGGCAAAATAAGCTGGAATTGGTTTGTCGACAGATTGATGATCGTCATCATCATCATGATCATCATCATCAACTGGCAACAACTGGTGATCATGGTCAGATTCATTATTGTTGTTTGAAGATTGATTATTGATTGGTGTGAACATATTGAATAATTGTGTTGTACTTGGATGTGGTAGACGTAATAACAGACCAGTAGTTAATTTCAAAGCCAATAGTCTCTGTACACAAAGAGAATTGGAAAAAATAGAAATAGAAATAGGCACTTAAATTGAAGCGATAATAAAAACAAATATGGACATGTTTTATACATTTCAGCATCTTCCATATTCTGTGTGTGTTTGATGATAGGTTTGAATAATGCTATGACGAGTTCATCTTACTCGGTAAACGTAAGTGAAGACAAATGATGCAGTGATACGATAGGCTATTCTAATCGGTTTGTCCCAGGCCCTGTTAACTAATATCAAGAAGTCTTGATAAGGCATAGAAAAGTGTATTCTACAAGCACACAAATCGAGTTTATTTATACATGATAGAAACGTCCTTGGGAGAGCCACAAGAATAGCATACTAAAATAATTCATCAATAATGACAGTCAAGGAGGATTTTTCGAGTAGGAAATTTAACCTGAAGGTCAACTAGGCAATTTATGCGCGAAAACATAAAAATATCGAAAATCAGAAGACTTTTCAAATGAGTTCTGGGAATTTAACGTCCCCAACAAAAATGACGTTTGGTTTTTGATTTCTTCAACTGTAGAAACACATACCTGCAAATTCTATCGTTCGTCAATGTGAAAATATTGAGTTATCTATCTATCTATGTGTTTGTTGAAACCAGAAAATATGGACAGAGAGTTTGTAGTGCCTCCACATATATTCCAGCTCGCTTACATCTAATTTGGTTAAGCCCTTTCGATTAATAATTTATTTAACCAAGCCATTTGTATTGTGAGCAACAATTTATATGTACCATTCGTTCTTATTAGTGTCTGGTTTGTACGAGGAGCTCACATGACGTATCTCACTTATCATCATTTGACCTTGTCAACTATTGGTCGCTTTTATTCATGTGTGTGCATGTCTATCTCGTTGGTCATATGTCTGTCTTATTTTTGTCTGATGATAAATTCCTAGTCACGCTCATGTGTGCCTATTTCGCTTGTCACATGTCTGTCTTATATTTTTCTGACTATATATATTCTTAGTCATGCTCGATCGGTTGAAGTCGGCTCATTAGCCTCCTCCAACGCGCTTCGCTTATCCATTCGCTTCCTTCGCCCAATCGTTCGCATTGTAATCCCAGGAGTTGGCTCAATAACCTCACATTCGCGTCGCTTCTTTCATTCTATTCACTACTTCTCCGCTTCGCTTTGTGCTGTGTCCCAAATAAACGTACTCAACACTACGAGTTCACCTGATTTATAAACCGTCAGACGCTAGTTAGTAACGATTGTCTGGACAAGCTAATTACTGAGCTTTAGAACACACGCAGTAAATCGACACACTACAAGTTAAATTTTATGACCTACTGTAATATGCGAATGAATTTGGTCAATTTGTCCGCTGCGCTTCCTCTCCCCAATTCTTTCATCTAGCCAATCGTATATAACCACCACTATCAGTAAAGTCCCATTCACTTCATTCTCGTGACACGAAATTCGGAAGACAAAAAGCGAGTGTTCGACGCTTAAACCTGCTCGGTGGGTATGGACGATCCACTACTACTGTAGTGAACGAGAACACAGGTGAGGGCGACCGAATTGTATTTAACGAAATTACAGAGTTACTCAGTAAAATAAGAAAACCATATCGTAAATCGTTCATTTGCAAAATATCAATCAGTTCATCATATCGAACTGGATTGTTCCTGTTGCAAAACATCAATCCATTGTCACTATTCATGCGTTTCATACAAATTCCATTGTGTTCCCTCCACTCTTCACTTTCTTGATCTTCCCCCATCTTCTGCTGCCAGACATTACGTTGACACTCACGTCAAATACTACTCATAAGTAGCTCACACCACACTACTACACCAATGGTGTACATGGCCTCCAAGGATCCCCGGGGAACGAATGGCGTTGATCGCCAGCTACAATAAGGCTGCATCTCCCTGACGTTGCACCACTACTGTCTTGTGCATGAGACCTGTAGACAAGAGGCCCGAAGGTATGGCCTAACTAAAAGAACCACCCAGTTTATTTCAGGCAGTATATCGCAGCCAACCCACTGACACATTCAATAATCAATATGGCGCACATTGACATATTTGAATGATAACAATAAAACAAATCGATAAATCGATAAAATCAAATAACTCATTCACAATAATTACTACCACCATCAATTTACCTGACAATAATATTGTGGTCGATTATTTAATTCATCCAATGAAATTTTATTAGCTAAACGAAATATTTTCAACACTGATTTACGTCCAACAGACAAGTGTAATAATTGTCCAAGATAAATTAAATTTGACAATAACTACATGGTGTGAATACAAACGAAAACGAGATGAAACGATCCATTCAGAGAAACAAACAAAGTTAATATACACACACAGTTAGTTATTTTGCTGCTGCTACTATATACAGTTGATTATATATGATAAATAGCAAAAACATATGTATTACGGGGTTGTGAAGATTGTTAAGTTACACAATTTTTCAAACCATGAATTTGATCAAGTTAGACATTAACAACACCGTTAGATGCCGGCCCAGAGGTCCAATGGTTAGGGCGTTCGCGGACAATACCGAAGGTCCTGGGTTCGAATCCTGCGGGGTGCAGGAGTCGTTGATGCGCACTGCCACTGATGAGTCCCATACCAGGACGAAACGGCCGTCCAGTGCTTCTTCCAGGTTTCTAATGGTGTTAGTCTAACATTGACCGATTCATGGTTTCAAAAACATATGTGTTACGCATGCACGTAGTAGTAAACATGTCAATTTGATAATGCTTTGAGCTATTGTGGTGTGTGCTACTTATACGAACGATATATAAGTAGTAGTATAAGAAGGGACGTGAAAGAAGAATTCGCACGGTCAGACGAGGAAAACGGAAAGCGAATGGAGCAAAAGCAAGAAGTAAATGGAGGAGTACCAACAGGAAGGAAAGGAAGCAACAACAGGAATTGAAGAAGAAGGATGGAGTGTTGGAAGTCAGGACTCAAAGATGGTGTGCAAATAGAGTGTATTCAATGTAGTAATGTTTTCGTTTTTAATTGACTAAGAGTGTAAATTTGCATAATACAATCTTCCGAGCCTGTCTCAGTCTTCTCACTATTACTAGTTCACCTAAGTCGATTAACAAGAGCGAGGATTGATGATCCGGCGACACGATAGGCTACTCCGTAATCCCAGCGTCTCAAATCCCCCATTAAATAGGAGAAGACTTGATATGAAGTAGAAAGTGTATTCTACAAACATCCAGAAAGTACGAGGTCCGAGTCCAGAAGAGGATGAGGAACCCGGACTAAGGATCCGGGTCCGGGTTATAAAACGTTACAGATAATGCATATTTATACAGGTTTGGTCGAATGTAGAACAACATTGAAGTCTATGATATTGATAGTTAGGACGACCATAATATTGACCAGTAGGAATTGACCAATATGATCATTATTATTCATCTGTGAAATTGGATAAATGAACTATTTATTTACTGCATACTCAAATCGTCAATCAATCAATCAATCATTGTTAGACCACTATTAGAAAGAAACCTCAAAGCACTGGACAACAACGGTTTCGTTCTCGTATGGAACTCCTGAATGGCAATGCGCATCCACTACTCCTGCACCTCGCAGGATTCGCACGCACGTACTCCAATATGGTTTCGTCAGTCAGTCAGATGCAACGTAGAACTTCGTACGTCCGAACGTACATCAGTTCATGTTGCCATACCACATCAGCACAAAATGTAATTGTCAATTCAAATCCAATAGTAGTAGAGGTAGTAAATGTATTTAGAAGTAATCGGAGAGGTTAGGATTAGAAGATATTATTCAAGAAGTAAGATTCAATGAGATAAGTTTAGAAAGTCAAAACTAGAGGTGTTGAAGAATTCAGAAGATTAGGATTTGAGAGAACACAAACAATAAATGCACCGGCGCCATTGCAAACGGTTTTGAGCCATATCATTCAGGGTCTCTAACCATTGGTTAGTATTGTCTCGCAGACTCCAACCAGGTAGTCAAAAACTACCAACATGACTCAGTTCACTCTTCAATGACTTCATGGATTGCTGCTATGTTCTGGTTTGGCCGCCCTTAACTTTCTTCCAACCTATTCCTACACCACAAAACATCTAACAGTGTTAACTCTGATCAATCTACATACAGTGCGCGATCTCACCGATTCGTCTTTGGCAGTTACTGCCTACAACATCCGACAACGTTGAACTTCACACTGGTCACGTGCAACAAACGAAGAACTCTAATTGAGAAAAAAGATTTCTTTTACTCACAATGTATCAAAATGAATATTGAATGCAAGAAACAACGAAGAAACAAAACAAAAGGAACTTACCGCATTCGACCATTCATCAGAAATCGGTACACGTGCATCAACTTCCAATTGAAATAATAAATCATCCAGTATTCTTTGTAACTAATAAAAAGAAAGTGAAGAAGATAAAAATCATCATCATAGTATGATATAATTCAAATATAACAAATATCTTAATTATTTTTGCAAGTCTAATTCTATTGGTCAGTTCCTATTAGTTAATCTTATTGGTTGTCCTAACTATCAATGTCACATACTTCAAATGCTGTTTCTTATTGGTCATCCTAACTAACAATGTCACATACTTGAAATGCTGTTTCCTATTGGTCGTCCTAACTATCAATGTCACATACTTCGAATGCTGTTTCCTATTGGTCGACCAAACTGTATAAATATGCATAATCTGTAACTTTTTATGATCCGGATACTTATCCTCCTCCTCTGGACTCGGATCGCGTACTTTCTGAATGATTGTAGAATACACTTCTACTTTATATCAAGTCTTCTTCTTCTACTTCATGGGCCTTGGGACGCTAGGATTATAGAGTAGCCTATCGTGTCACTGGATCATCGATCCTCGCTTTCGTTTACTGACTAAGGTGGACTCATATTCGTTCAAGCCTATCGAATGACGTGCTGACGTGCGTTCGTAAGATTTTCCCTATTCACAAATTTTGATAGAACAATGAGGAGACGTGAATGATCTGGAAATATGTGATGTATTTGTGCACTATATAAATTTTGAACAATCTATATATGTATGTGTGTGACCAGATTGCTCGAAATGTATAGTGAGCAAATACATTACAATATTTTTCAGATCAATTACGTTGTTAGGGACCTTAGATCCGCAGAGCACATTTGAGAAAGGTTCTAATTTTGTAATTTATTTGAGTAATTTTGATTTTTTTCATGTTTTTGCGCCAAGAGACGATTAGTTGACCTTCAGCTTAAATTTCCCACTAGGGAAATCCTTGACTGTCATTGGCAGATAGATGATTTTAGTACGCTATTTTGTGGCTCACCCAAGGGCGTTGCTACCACTGTATCAATAAGTTCGATTTGTGTGCTTAGCAACCTCATATTTCCTGAGGTGTCTGTGGAATACACTCTCTACGCCTTATCAAAACTTCTTGATCTAGTTAACAGGGTCTGGGACCAACGGATTAGAATAGCCTATCGTATCACTGTATCGTTAACCTTCGTTCCGTTTACTGAGTAAGGTGAACTCGTAATAGCATTCAAGCATATTATACGTCTTTTGATTGTTCTATTAAGATCATGGTAGGTTTCGATTAGTGAATGAAGCGTATGATGAGATGAGATGTCTTTTATTTGGTCAAAATGATCGATCAGTTGATAAAATGTTATAAAAATATGGAATATGGATTAAGGTGATTGTAAGATGGAATATTGTACAGCATAACCTGTCTCTTTGTGTTTGTAGGCTACCACCAGTTAGCATTTGTCGACCAACTCTATCCACGGCCTGCCTTTTCAGTTCTAACCAACTGTTATTCATTGTTCTACGGTCCACTTTCACTTCTCACGGTAATGTGTTCTTTGGTCCTTCCTCTTTTTTCTTAGCTTTGAGAATTTCAAGTGAGAACTGACTTTGTGACACAGTTGAATGCCATCCGGAATATGTGCCCTGACTATCTACTTCCAGCGATATTTCCTAATTACTTCTTCTGTTAGAATCAGGTTTGTTCTTTCCCATAATAGGTTGTTGCTAATGGTGTCTAGTCAACAGATCTGAAGTAACTTGTTTAGAAAATTGTTAATAAACACAAGTAGCTTACGGATGATGGTCTTTTGTAGTTCTCCAAGTTTCCGCTGCATACAGTAAAACTACTTTGACATTTGTATTGAAAATTGTAGTTTTGGTGTTTGTTGACAGTTATTTTGTATCTCAAATGTTTTTCAATCGTGGAAATACTTCCATTGCTTTGCAAATTCGTGTATTTACAATGATATCAGATCTACCTTGTTTATCAGTGATGCTGCTGCCCACGTACGTATGTAAACGTTTCCACATCTTCCAAAACTTGTCCATCAAGTGTGAATTGGTTAGTGTATCGAAGAGTCCTACTTTTTCCATCGTGTATGTTGAGACTTGCTGAGGAAGTGGCTGCTACTACACTGGCCATCCTCTCTGTGGGTTGAATGGCTAGATCATCTACGAAGTTCAAATCCTCCAGCTGCGTCCAAGCTGTACATTGTATTCCATACTCGACACTTGAAGTCCTTCTGTTACGCCTGGACGTAAACACGTCAACTTGATATGCTTGAACTATTACGAGTTTACCTAGTCAGAAAACGAGAGCGAGGAACGAGGATCCGGTCACACGACATGCTACTCAAATCCGACTATCCCAACCGCCCATATTGAGTAAAAGAAGTCAAGACTTGATATGAAGTAGAACCTGTTTTCTACAAGCATCCAGAAAGTATGAGGTCTGAATCCAGAAGAGGATGAGGATCCCGGACAAGGGATCCGGGTCATAAAACGTTACACATAATGCGTATTTATACATTTTGGTCGAATAAGAAACAGCATCGAACTCTGTGGCATTGGCAGTTAAGATGACCAATAGGAAGTAACATTGGAGCATGTGACATTGATATCTAGGACGACCATCAAATTGACCAGTAGGAATTAACCAATAGGAATTGACCAATAATAATTCTCTTAGGATATTGGATGAATATCCTAATTAACACCTTCTAAGGTCACTGCCAATCTGAAGCCCGGATAAAGAAGAAGGAGGGTTAAGCATGCTGCGGTTAAGCGACCCTCCTATCCCGTATAAAACCAAACAAAAAAAACGTTAATCAGAACAATGAACATCACACTAATGCATTCTCATCATGAAACTTACTACTTTATTTAATCCCAATTTATTGTGTTGCAATTTTCTAAATATCACCGATCGAACATTTAAACCGGATAATTCACAATCTATGGTGCTGAGACGATTTTGATTTGACAACACTTCAAATTTCAATAATAAATTTAAACAACGCGTTGCCCATTCACGTGTTTCACGATGTCCTGCTATTAATAAACTACATTTTTTCGGTTTCATTTTCATTTTTTTATTGGTGGTGGTAACATCTGTTGAAAACAATGTACTATATTGTTCACGACGTTTATTCAATGCATTACGATGTCGCTTGTTCGTTTGGAATTCAATGATTGGACATGATGGGTCCCCATAATATTTCGGGCCATTTAATAAGACACGCCAAAATGCGGACATTTTAACTGAAGATATATAAGCATCAATATTATGATTGTTGTCATTAATTTGTGTGTCAGGATCAACAGTTGAATCAACATTCGATTCAATGATCAATTGATAGGCTAGTTTTAATGCATGCTCCAATGTATGCGCCAATAAAAAGTATTGATTATCTAGAGCCTACAGAGAAAAGGAAATGAGAGATAACAGAGAGAAAAAAAAATCACACCAATAAGGTAGGAGTAATTAAAAAACAAACAAACAAACAAACGAGTTAAAAGATTAAAATTAATCGATAAATAAAGGTTGCTTAAATGTCATTGGTTATAGATGATGAGAATGGAACAAACAGGTGCATTCATTCTTTGTCAGCCCTCCCCCCCACTGTCTTAATTTATGGCTGTGAAACATGGCCAGTGAGATTAGAAGATATTCATTCGTAGGTTACTACTGGTTTTCGATCAATAGGTGTCTTTGAAGCACTGTGCTCGTATAATATCGTGGGACACCCGAGTGAGCAATGCTGTGATTAGGAAACGGGTGCTAGGTAAGAATGGCAGATCAATAGATGAAGTACTAGTGAAACTTCATCAGTTGAGGTGGTTGGGACATGTGTTGCGTATGCCTAACCACCGACTGCCTCGTCGAGCCTTGTTTTGTAGTGTAGGAATAGGTTGGAAGAAAGTTAGGGGCGGCCAGACCAAAACATGGCACAAATCCATGAAGTCTCTGACAAGTGAACTGAACCATGTTGGTAATTGTCGACTACCTGGTTGGGGTCCGCGAAATGATGATAATCGATGGTTAGAGACCTTGAATGACATGGCTCAAAACCGTTTGCAATGGCGCCGGTGCATTTATTCTCTGTGTTCTGTCAAATCCTAATCTTCTGGATTCTTCAACCCCTCTACTTTTGACTATCTAACCTTATCTCACTGAATCATACTTCTTGAATAGTATCTTCTAATCCTAACCTCTCCGATTACTTCTAATACGTTTACTACCTCTTCTACTATTGGATTTGAATTGACAATTACATTTATGTGCTAATGTAGTATGGCAACATGAACTGATGTATTTACATACGACGTTCTACGTTGCATCTGACTGATTGACTGACAAAGTAGTTTAGTAAATACCAAGGGTTATGGATGATGACAATGGCTCAGGTGCATCCATTCTTTGTCCACCCCCACCACCTGTCAAATTGTTAATTTACTAAATTCTTCATCACTTCTATCTTTGTCTCTATTCTTTTGAAATTTATTTCATTGAATTATACTTCTTGAATCAAATCTTCGAATCCTAATCTTCTCCATTATTGCCAAAATGTCTACTATCTCTACCGCTATGGAATTTGAACTGACTGTTTGAACTCTGGGCTAATGTGGTATGATAACCTAAACTAATGTATGTGCGTATGAAATTCTACGTTGCTGATGACCGACTGATGAAGAAGTGAGAAGTTAAGAGGTTTACTTTGTCCTGTTTGAGATTCGTTAACGTGATGTGCAATATATCAAGATATCCATTTAGCAAATATATGCATATATATCCCAATATACGAACTGTTATTTAAATTGAGTTAATTTCTAAATCTCAGTACGGATACAGAAGGCTCAATTGGCTTTTGCCAGATATACTTCTGCTAGTCATAGAACAAGTCTACTGTGAAGCAGTTCGCTCCGTTCTACCTTATGGCTGTCAAACACAGCCAGAAAGAGTAGAGGATATTCGTAGATTACTGGTGTTTTCGAAGCACTGCTCGTATGTCCTAGGACAACCGAGTAACTAAGTAATGTTGTTGTTCGGAAATGGGTGCTACGTAAGGATGGTAAAACCATTAAATGAAATAGTGAAACCTCATCAGTTGAGGTGGTTGGGACATGCGTTACGAACATCTAACCACCGACTGCCTCGACGGACGATTCTGTCTGGTGTAGAGATAGGCTGGAAGAAAGTTCGGGAGCGGTCAGACCAACACATGGCACAAATCCATGAAGTCACTGACAATATCACAGGTTTATTCACTCTTTGATTTCTCTGAAATCCTAATTTGAATTACTCATGACCTTCAACTTCATCTTTCGAAGTTAATTTCAATGGCATTATACGTCTCGAATAATTACTTCGAACCCTAATCTCCTCCATTGCCGCTAATACTTCCACTACCTCTTCTACTACTATGGGATTTAAATTGACAATCACATATCTGCGTAGTAATGTTGTAAGGAGATCATGGGCTGAAGGCTGGTTGAACTGATCCCTAAAGTGTTCTGCTCATCGATCAAATCTCCTGAATTGAGAACAAATAATAAGATCATCCTTTTCCAAGATAGTCTCGCTAATAGTCGGATTCCGAAGTTCAATCACTGAAAGCGTTGTCAGTGTGTGTGTACCAATGAAGAGTTTCCTATGAGGACGAAACACCAGTTCAATCATTCTTAGTATTTAATAATTGTCTAAACTAAAAATTACTCATAATCTATTCATTTAAATGAATGTTTCAAATCGGTCTAGAGATTAGGTCCTAGGTTCGATTTCTGCAAGCAGGAGCCGCGGATTCGCAATGCTAAAGATTCCCATACTAAAACGAAACAGCCGTCTAGTGCTTTTAGATTTCTAATGATTGATTGATTCACAAATTCAATGTAAAAAAAATTCGGACAAATTCTCCTATACAAACAAAATTCTTACCGATTTGGAACATTTCAGCTTTCTAGTAGACAATGTCGAATGAGCAGTAGTAGTAGTAGTAGTAGTAGTCGTTGTAGTAGTATCATTCATTACATCTTCATGATTCTCTTCAATTTCAAATGTATCATTAGTAAACGGATCATGATCGGCATCTAAATCCACACTGTCACAGTAACCGTCATCATCATCATCATCGTTGTCTTCTTCCTCTGAACTGACTAGTTGTTGTTCATTGTTGTTCGCTGACTTTGAAGCATCATCATCATCATCAACATCACCAACATCGTCATCATCCTCATCCAGATGATTCATTTTGGACAAATTTAATTCACTCATCCATTTTGCATCCTCTTTCATAATACGCATCAAATGACATTCATCTTTCGGTGTAGTTTTCACCAATTCCTTATGATATAATTCATGTAAACCAGTAAACATCATCAAGGTAGAATTCGATTGAATTAATCGATTCAGCTGAATCATTGCACTGGGTAAAACATCCATACTAAGTATTTTGATCAATTGATTACGACAATGTTCCGTAGACAGACACAACTGACTATTTAATACATAACTAATCATTTGTAAACCAAGTAAACGTGTTGATAACCTAGTTTCAGATGGAGCTTGTAAAAATTCCAATAAATAATCGTTAAAATGCGATTGAGCTAAATCCGCAGGTAATTTTTGAAATAATAAACGTATCACATGTAACATAGTGATACGTGCTTTTCTCGACGATTCACGTTCAATTGCTGCACCAATACTTAACAAAATCATCTCATCTAAACGATGATTTGTATGACCAATGAAACGATGTATCGGTAATTGAGTTAATAAACTATGCAATAAATTGATAGCGGATAATCGTCCAGTTAGATTTTTATATTCTAATTGTTTCACACAAAAACCAATGAAACTTTGTAGAAATTTTAATTTATGCGGATAATTTAATAGGAAAGTGATGAGACAACAACGTGACTCCACACGGATTTGTTCTGAAGGATTAGTGATAGCCAATAATTGTAATCGATGAAATAAATCCAGTAGACGTGTCCCACCGCCTGCACCAGTTTTTAAATCATAATCCGGATCAGTGAGTTTAGCAATAGTCAGGCGATTGTCACACATCGGTAAATCATGATTTAATTCAGGATCTCCGATAAAATGTAAAATATCATTTTCATCATTTGTTTGGACAACTGGATCACGTAAACGACGTTGCAGTAGCGCATGGAATAATGTCAATGATGAACTGATCGACAGGTTTCGACTTAGCTCAATATCGACAGCGTTCAACAGGGTTGACAATTGATTTTTCGACAACCGGTAGTCATATTGATCACGAACTAATGAAGCTAAAGTACGATATAAATCAGTGATTAGATTCTTGGCGTAATCATTTCCGACTGCTGTTGGTGTTGTTGCTGTTTTATCCGATGATAATAAACCTGAGTGATTTGATAAAATATCAAATAATTTCTCACCGATTTGTTTTAAATAATCATGAAATTGTGGGATTTGATTGATAATCGATTTACAAGTAGTAATTAGTAGTATCAAACGAATACATTTTATGCTGGCACTTAATATTTGAATATACTTTGAATTTAAACAATTGATAATCATTGGGATGAATTCATTCAACAACTGTAAATGTTCCAGCTCAGTTTGTTTTAACCAATGATAACGTATCAACCCGATGAATAGATATAAACCACAAGATATCATCACATGAGATTGTGTTAAACCGGATTGAGTCAATAATGGATTGTGTTCACGTGTTGGTTCCCGATCTAATTCTAAATAATTCCAACGTGGTGTTAATAGTTTGGATTTGGCTGATGACGATGCTGGATACCAACCAGTGATGACAGTATTATGCTGATCATGAGCACTGTCTGGGGAATGATTCTTTTCTTCATTTAAATCGTTCTCATTGATTGTTTGTTCCAAGTTCTCATTGACAAGTTGTTTAAATAAACACAAAACAACATGAATATTAGTTGATTGAAGAAATCTATTCGAGAATATTCCATTTTTCGTTGGTAAACGTTCTAATGTACATTCTAATCGAGCTAAAGCTCTATGACGAAATCGTAGACCACAACCAACAGATTGATTGACTGAAGAGAATTTATGATTTGTACTGGTTGACTGTGGTTGATTACTGGTCAGTAATAATGATGCGCCGAGAGGTGTACCAGATACAGCACAATGTAGTGCAATTTTTATATCGGCAAATAAATTCATCACACCTTCAGCGGATAATAATCTACATAGACGTGTCATACCATCAGGTGATTTTAATCCATTCGCTTCAGGTAAATTGGAGGCGGTCATCGATCCACCGCTTAAATCATGCATTGATGATAATTCTTGTACACGTGTTGCTTCCACATATCCAGCTGAACGTCTCGAGTCGATTTCTTCAGCTAATCGTCCAACTAGTTCATCTAAATAAAGTCGACTTAATATTTGACCAATATAATCTAATTGACCAGATTTAAATGAAACTTCACCCGACTGAATAGCTTGTTCTACTTCACTTAAAACCTGATGTAATGTATACAGTCGAATTTGCCAAAATGTATAACCACCACGATCCAACTGTTGATTGACAATTTGAAATAGTCTGTCTAATGCTTTACTAGGACCTAGTAATCGTCCAATACGTGCTAATGATTTTTCAGCTTCATGACGTATTTCATAAGGGATATCATGTGATGGTCGTAGAATATCCACTACACGGAATATAAGATTTGGTAGACGTGATTCTAAATAACCTGGTGGTAAACGTCGAAGTAACATTACTAATGAGATAACCAGGGAGATTTTCAATGGTTTATTGATAGTGTCGGTTTTTTTCTGGTGCTGTTGATGGTGTTGATGCTGCACGGGCTTCTTGTTTTTACCATCGATCGATTCCGTGTGGTTAGTTTTAATCGGTTTCACAATGAATGGTTCTAAGCGTTGAATTACACTAAGCATATATTGTAGAATTGGCGAATTCACATCGTCTTTCGACAGTTGACTGCGTTGATTTGTAGGAATCACACGAACTGATGATGATGATGCCTTCGGCACTGCGGCATTTTCATCCACCTGCGCTTCGCCCAATTCATCATCATCATCATCAACCTCACCATCAATGGAACATTTCCAATTGGGCGCTTGAAAAGCATCAATTAGACGGATGAGAATTTCTGACAAAAATTGAATATTTTCACATGAATTCAATCGTGTCATGAGTGATTCTAGCAGAATTTTATAAAATTTCCATTGTAAATGTTTTGCTAACCCGCTTAGAGCATCTAAACTATGCGTAATCAATTGTTTATGATATTTTGTCATATTACTATTACTATTATGATTATCAGTAGTATGATTATAATGTACCGAAGAATTCAATTCCGGTTCCAAGTAGTACCATATGATTGGTAAGAATAGATGACGTAAATCTTTTTGTGATATAGGAAATTGTATGTTTGCACTACTACCATTCTTATCCTGATGACAACGATTGGACGCTTGCAACAATTGACGACGTGATATGATAGTTAGGGGATTTTGTAAAAACAATGCCAATCGACGCATAGCACAACACTGACGTGATAATGTACCACTTTGTAAATTTGTATAGAAATCATTACTCACTGAATGATTGTCTAATAGTAAAGCTAATGGCATAAATCGATCACGTGATTGATACGTACGTATCATGGTATTGAGTAAACGTAATAAATGTAATCGTTTTGTGCTCAGTGTTGTGGTTGTGCTAATATTATTATTATTATTGGTATTCTGTAATGATTTGATTAAATTCACCCAAAGACATTTTAAAATTAATTCCTTGTAATAAACATCGTCATCATCATCATCATTACTGGGAGATGGATTACTACTGGCTAATCTAGCCTGATGAATACACTGGACACAATTGGTTGCGTAATCCAATGCTGTATCACGCAATTGTAATTCATCATGATTCAATGTGTACAGAGCACAATTTAAACCGGCACGATGTAAATACAGTGTTTGTTCTGGTGGTGCATGATTGAATTTTAACAGTACACATAATTCATTGAGTAAATTGAAACCGTCCACGCGTTGATTTAAATCGGGTTGTTCAATATGACTTAGATCCCAGGAATTTAACTTGAAAAAAATAAGGAAAAGATAATAAGTGAGAATTTTTTTTCACATCATATTAAACAGTCTACCAACCTTGGCCAACGTATTTCATAATAAATCGATCTGGTGTACCGTTAGGAGTATGAGGGACGAAGTCACTTACCGGCTGCCCACAACGTGGAAGAGTGCTTCTTAAAATACATGAAAAAGAAATTCGACTAGCGATGTCCTGAGCGACCTGGGAGCGTGACCACAGAGCCTAATTGTTAGGATATTCCCCAAATATCCTTAGAATACTATTTTTAGAAGTGTAATCCCATTGGTCGATTTCTATTGGTCAAAATTATGGTAGTTTTTAACTGTCAAAGTCAAATACTTCAATGTTGTCTCTTATTGGTCATCCGGACTGTCAATGTCATTTCAAGTGTTCTTTCCTATTGGTCGTCCTAAACTGCCAGTGTCACAGACTTTGATGCTCTTTCCTATTCGACCTTAATGTATAAATACGCACTATCTGTAAGACTTCATGATTCCGATTCTGTTCCTTCCTGCCTACCTCTCTTCCGTACTCGACCCAATAAACAACTCCATCCCCACGGTGTTGCGTTCTGATATATAGGAGATTTGGAAATAGCATTTTGAGTCGTATTGGGATATTTGAATTGGACGCCGCTAGGACTGAATGGCTATACGTAGAGCAGAGTTACAACACTAATAGACAACTGTTTAAGGCCGGTCACACAAGGCCTTTATATAGGATGTTTTGGAAGTATTAGCTCCACTCTTTAAATAATCTTACCACCGGAGAGGGAATTCAATGGGGTAAGGTGGGGTGTGACATTTTTAGGGTCAACCTTTTCTAACCCCCTTCTTCCACAGAGAGAAGGAAGTATCTAACTACTGTCACACCCCTCTACAGTTAGTCAGAAGCACGAACTAGCTCTTTTAGTCTGGCGGTTCTCCAATCGACCTGTCTGGTATCGTAGAACCGACAGGAACATATGTTCCAGCCAATACAGATCAGTTGAGTCATTACGATAGGCAAATCAGACCACTACGTCAAAGTAGCAGCTACGGTTGGGAATGATAATAAGAAATGGAAAGGAAGACCCAGGACAGAGTAGTAGATTGAACATTTCTGGTCGATAGCCTATGCTCCATTAGGAGTAACAGAAGTAAACAAGTAAGTGAGTCAGGGAATAGCTAGTTGAATTCAAGATATCAACTATGAGATCCATATACATCTTGTGACAGACGAGTCCAAACTGGGACAAAACACATATCCCAAATTTCACAGCTAGCCATTTTTCACTTCTACAAGCAGATTACGTAATACACTGTTAGTGGGACAGAGATAAAATTAAAGCATGAATACGTTGCTGCGCGCTGATTGGCTAATTTCCTATCCAATCAGCGCCTGATCGATTCTTGGAGAACAGGGCAGAAAGTTCTCGTACAGTTAGCTGAATGCTGATTGGCTAAATCTAATCCAGTCGATCACGTGAATTAAAATCCAGAAGCTTCTCATGTAAATGCTATAAATAGACTAACGTTGTATCTATTTTTGCCTTCGCCTTCGGCTTCTTATTTCCAATTTAACCTTGCTATTTGGAATATAATCTTTTCCTGTTCAACCGTGTTTTTTTGATTCTTTGGAACTTGTCCAGTGTATTATTTGTGGTCAGAGAATACTGAGCAATAGGAATTAGCTGGGAATTATATTTAAGCAAGCGTTACAACATACACAAAATCATAACTTACCATTAATAGAACACGTTGTGTTAAATTATTCAATAAATTCTCCTCCTCCTCCTCCTTTGATTGATTATTGGCCGATAAATATTTTCTAATAAATCTCAACGGTTGATGATGTTTCTGGTGCTTCTGTTGGTTCTCCTTCTTCTTCTTCTCCACGTTATTATCCTCCTCATCATCATCTGCTGTCGGTGCCTGATTTCTATCATTCAATTGTTCAATCATTTCAATCAAATTGCTTGGCCAATTGGTTGTTAAACGTGCTGTACACACACCAACAACTTGACATAGAAGACTACGTGCAATACGAGATTTTGAGCAGATAAATAAATCGAGTATTTTCCTGTCATACACACACACACAGAGAAAGAGTGAGAGAGAAACACATACATGAATGAGTTGTTTCGATTGCGTAACTTTTTTAAAATTTTTTTTAACAAAAGTATAGGTTTATCATGAGTGCTTATTGAGAAAGTTTTTACTTACTTACTTACGGCTCTTACCACCAATGGAGCACAGGCCGCCCAACCAGTTTCCTCCAACCATCTCTGTCCTGGGCTTCCTTCTCCAGTTCTGTCTATTTCTCGGCATAATGTGTTCCTTGGCCTTCCTCTTTTCCTTTGGCTTTGAGGGTTCCATGTGAGGGCTTGTCTCGTGACGCATTTCGGTGCTTTTCGTAGTGTGTGTCCTATCCACTTCCAGTGCTTCCTCCTGATATCTTCCCCTGCTAGAATCTGGTTTGTTCTCTCCTACAGTACGTTGTTGCTGATGGTGTGTGGCCGACGAATCCGAAGTATTTTACGTCGAAAACTGTTAATAAACACTTGCATCTTCTGGATGACGGCTTTGTTAATTCTCCAAGTTTCCGCTCCATACAGTAGAGCTGTCTTGACATTTGCACTGAAAATCCTGATTTTGGTTTTGGTTGAAAGTTGTTTGGAGTTCCAGATATTTTTCAACTGTAGAAATGCAGCCCTTGCTTTGCCAATCCGCGCCCTCACATCTGCATCCGATCCACCTTTCTCGTCGATGATACTGCCCAGATATGTAAAGGTGTTAACGTCCTCTAAGGTATCTCCATCAAGAGTGATTTGGTTGGTGCATGTTGTGTTGCATCGGAGAATAGTGGTGCCAATATATTTGGCAAAACTTAGATGTTTAGAGTCTTTTTTGAAAAAGAATATCCTTTTGAATAACTCCGCCTAGGGTCCTCTTACTGGCGGTTCCGAGCCTTGCATTTTGATTGGTTATCATTGACCTTTAACCTGTCATCGTCTGTTTCTTTATTTTGACTTCACCCTCCTTTGATTCGGTGCTTGATCGCATGTTTGTCAATGATTTTTCTGACTGGTTGATAAACTGGATTAATGTCGATGTGTTTGTTGATTGTTGATTGACTTGAGTGCCACCAAACCCAATCAACAAGACAAGCTTCAAGTCATACGTGAAAGAATTCAAACACTTCACTTCTCTACCTGAAGCTTTTGCTGTTGCTGATGATGATGATGTTGTTGTTGTTCAGAAGAACAATAAAAGATCCTCAACCAAACCACATCCAGCTCAGAGAGGACGAAACTCCATCATAATCCTATCCAACTAAGCTACAAATTTATCAGTCAGTCAGTCAGTCAGATGCAACGTAGAACTTCCTACGTAAGTACATCAGTTCATGTTGCCACATACCACATTATTAGCACACAGATATAATTGTCAATTCAAATCCAATAGAGTAGTAGAGGTAGTTAAGGTATTAGAAGTAATCGGAGAGGTTAGGATTAGATGATATTATTCAAGAAGTATGATTCAGTGAGAAAAGTTTAGAAAGTCAAAACTAGAGGGGTTGAAGAATACAGAAGATTAGGATTTGAGAGAACACAAAGAATAAATGCACCAGCGCCATCGCGAACGATTTTGAGCCATGTCATTCAAGGTCTCTAACCATCGATTATTATCATCTCGCGGACCCCAACCAGGTAGTCGACAGTTACCGACATGACTCAATCCACTTGTCAGGGACTTCATGGATTTCTGTCATTTTTTGGTTTGGCCGCCCCTAACATTCTTCCAACCTACTCCTACACTACAAAACATAGCTCGTCGAGGCAGTCGGTAGTTAAGCATACGCAACACATGTCCCAACCGACTCAAATGATGAAGTTTCATTACTTCATCTGTTGATAATCATCCAATATCCTAAGAGAATTACTGGTCAGTTCCTATTGGTTAATTCCTACTGGTCAATTTTATGGTCGTCCGAGATATTAATCTCACGTGCTCCAATGTTGTTTCTTATTGGTCATCTTAACTGTCAATGTCACAGACTTCGATGCTGTGCCCTATTCGACATAACTGTATAAATACGCATTATCTGTAACGTTTTAGAACCAGGACCAGGACCCGGTCACGGATCCCTAGTTTGAGATCCTGTTTCTCATCTGGATTCAGACCTCTTACTTTCTGGATGCTTGTAGAATACAGGTTCCACTTCATATCATGTCTTCTTATTCTTACTCAATATGGGGGTTAGAATAATCGGATTTGAATAGCATATCGTGTCACCGGATCCTCTATCCTCTCTCTCTCATTTTCCGACTAAGGTAAACACTCGTAATAATAGTTCAAGTATATCAAGTTGACGTGTGTTTACATGCAGGCGTAACAGTACATACAAAGTTCTACGTTCCATTCATTCAATCATTCAATCAATCAATCAAATACTTGAAATACTTACTTTAAATAAATCGTAATATTCGGTGTAATTTGTACAAGTTGATGTATAGATTGTATAAGTTCCGCTTCAACTGCTTCACCTGTAGCTAACTGTAAATCATAACGTGCAGCTGATTCATCCGAATTGACAAATATACCAGGTCGTCTATTAAATGACGACGTTGTGGTTGACCTGACAGTATTGTAGTTGTTACGCAATGAACGTATAGAAGAACGTTGTAACAATTGTAATAAGGCTTGCAATAATCGTTCAGCATCAATTGGGGTTAAGCCATGAAGATTATTTTGTTGTTGTTGAGGACAATTCAATGATTGAGCTAAATAACTGATCAATTGAAATTCATGTTGTAAACGTTGACCACTCAATGGTTTTTTGCCAAGATTAATAAAATATGTTGATTTCACTTGACATAATTCATGTAGACGTTTTTTCAGGTAATCAACTAATTCCGAATGAAATGATTGTAGCAAGGTACGACCTGTTGTACAGATATCTGTTTAGTTTTTTTGGGAAGGAAAATAAGAAAGATAATATCAACGTTTTGTTACATAAATGGAATGTTAAGTGATTGGAAATTTGATTAACATGAAGAGTAGGCTTCGCATTGGAGAACTACAAGTGTTTATTAACTGTTGTCTACGCAAAATACTTCGGATTAATTGGCCAGACACTATCAGCAACAACATACTGTGGGAGAGAACAAACCAGATTCCTGCAGTGGAGGAGGAAATGAGGAAGAAGCGGTGGAAGTGGATAGCACACACACTACGAAATGCACCTAACTGCGTCACAAGACAAGCCCTCACATGGAACCCTCAAGGTGAAAGGAAAAGAGGAAGGTCAAGGAACTAATTATGCCGAGAAATAGAGAAAGGTATGAGAGGAATGAACAAACATTGGACAGAACTGGAGAGGGAAGCCCAGGACAGAGATGGTTGGAGGAAACTGGTGAGCGGCCTATGCTCCATTGGGGGTAACAGGCGTAAGTAGGTAAGTAAGTAAGTAGGCTTCGTATGAATTAGGACCCATTAAGTAAGATGTAGTAGCTAGCATTTCTATGAGGAGAATGGCGATTCGATTTCATGAAAAAGAGGTTGTAGTGTGTACCGCGACATGTCAAGCCCATAGGGCTTCTCTCCCAAGCTTTGCGAACAATTAAATCAATTAATTGTTAACCAGTTGGTATTCACATGTTTTTTGATCTTGTCAACTTTACACTTATAACCTTTGTACGCTCATGATCTTGGTTGTTTTGTAATTGAGTGTGCTTGTGTGCATCGCTTACTTCACTTGTCATATGTTTAACTTCTTTTCATCTTACCATAAAATACTTAGTTATGCCTCATCACATCGACTTGGTCCACACCGGCTTAGCCACTTCACTTCGCTTTCCTACTTTTCATCCACACGCCTATGCGCATGAACGATTGTATGAAATAAACTCATCCAATCAAATCCGAAGTTGACTACTTCTTATTACGAGTGTCACAGAAATGAGGTTCACCTAAGATGAGAGATTTATTTCATAGGAGGATATTCATGTGTTCCGACTAACTGGAGTCTGATCCCAACTCAGGAAACGGTATCATTCATTGATTTAAGCTCACAAACTCCAGTATGCCTCGTCAAAATTGCATAAGTGATATGATCATATTAATTAACTTGTACAGTGTTATTGTTGTCAACGAGTTATAATTGCTAATTCAGTAATCACTAAAAGAATTATTGTAATAACTAATTATGTAATATGCTAATGAGTTGAATTCTAAGATATTGACAGGTACACCAAATTTACTCATTGTCTTCCCATGACACAAAAGGATGAAAAACAAGTGTTCAGTGATTAAACCGGATTGAGTTGTACGGGTGATCCACGTAAGAGAGTTGAAAGATTCTGATTCCTGACTGAATGAATGTCGTATGTCAGTCAGTCAATTACAACGTAGAACTTCGTACGTACGTACATCAGTTCAGGTTGCCATACCACATTAACACACCCTAACCAACTACCAAAGACAAATGGGTGAGGTCGCGCAAAAACCCGTATATCAATCAAAGTTAGACATTAACACCGTTGGATGCCGGCCTAATGGTCCGATGGTTAGGTGTTCGCTGCGCAATACCGAAGGTCCCGGGTTCGAATACTGCGAGGTGCAGGAGTCGTGGATGCGCACTGCCACTGATCAGTCCCATACCAGGACCAAACGGCCGTCTTGCAGTGCATCCAGGTTTCTAATGTTGGTCTAACAATGATTGATTGATGATTTCAAATGTGTAAAAACGCAAACCTCCACAACTGTGCCCCAAAATAAAATTATTATCGCAATACTTTTAAGACTTACCAGGTAGAAATGTTAAATTATATACAATTTCAATAATTTTCTCAACAATTTCATTTTTGACTTTTACCACACTACTACTACTTCTACTTTTATGCATATTAGTAGTATAATGTGAATTTAACAATTTCAACAGGGTATGCAATAAGGCATGATCGAAAAATTTCATACATAAATACCCATCCTCATTGATTTGTTTCGATGACCATAAATAACTTAATTGTATCACTAAATGATTCAATGTCAATGTGGAACTTTTTAATAGATCATTGAAAACCAGTGGAGAACAACAAATTTGTTTGACTAACATTGATCGATCCTCATTGACACTGGGTGAGCTGTGGTTGTTCATGATGATGTTGTTGGTGGTGATTTGTCGTTCACCCCAAAATTCAATATCACAAAGCCATTTTGATGAGAATAAATGAATGAGTAAATTGATTGCCGCAGTACGTACTGCTTTGATTTGTGATGGTAAAGGTAGACGAGAATGATGACTAATTGTTGATTTGTTTTTAGTGTTGTCAGTGTTCAATGTTTCCAATTTGATTTGTTTTAATTTATAAACCATAGCCAATAAAGAGAGCGCTAGACATAATAATAGATCAGCACGTTGTTTGCTGATAGAAAGCTCTGTGGAATTAGTAGTAGTATGTTGCTGCTGTTCATTGTCAGTTGGATTCAATGATTCATTTTCAGTCAAATTGACAATATTTAAACGATGACCAAGATAATTTAATGTTTGATTGATAATTTGTGACAGCCTTAATAATAATATCAGAAATAAAATGCAAGATTATTACTGAAATCATAAAGTGATCAATTTTAGAACATGTTGACCAGTTTACTTATCCTAAGAATTTCATCAGTCCTCATGGCCGGTACGGATAAAGAGAGAAGGCTCGACTGGCTTTTGCCAACATGCGTCACTTATGTAGTAGTAGTAGTAGTGTGGTGAAGGAGAACACAGGTGAGGGCAACCGAATTGTATTTAACGAAAATTACAGAGTTAATCAGTAAAATTGGAAAACCATATCGTAAACGGTGAAATTCGCAAATCTTCAATCCATCATCAATCTATTGTCTGACATTTCACTTATTCATGCATTTCATACAAATTCCATATTGTGTTCCCACTCTTCCTTTCTTGTTGATCTTCCCCCATCTTCTGCTGCCAGACATTACGTTGACACTCGCGTCATATACTACTTATAAGTAGCGCGCACCACAGTAGTAGTAGGGGAGATATCCATCTGCTAAACATAGGACAAATCCTAATGCGCATCAGTTCGCTCCGTCCTACTCTATATAGATGTGAAACATGACCATTAAGAGTAGAGGATATTTGTAGGCTACTAGTTTTCAACAATAGATGTCTTCGAAGGATTGCTCGTATATCCTAGCACAACCGAGTAAGCAATGTGGGTGTTAGGGAAAAGGGTACCGAATAGCGATGGCAAATCAACTGATGAAGTAATAGATTTTCATCACTTGAAGTGGTTGGAAAATGCGTTACGTAAGCTTAACTACCAGCTGCCTCGAACAGCGATCTGGTCTGATGTAGAGATAAGCAGCACCAGTCCATGAAGTCACTGACAAGAGGACTGAGCCATGTTAGCAAATAGAGATTGTCTAGTTGGGGCCGGCGAGACAATAGTAGAACAAATTATAGATATGATCATGATTGCTCAACTTAACATGTGATATTGATTAGCGCTTCAACGTATAAAACTTGCTTTATCCACTCACAACCTAAACACACTTTTGTTTTTAACACACGATCATGTAACGTTCACCGGAAGAAAACTAAGTTCAACATTGAATTCGATCAATAGAGGCGACTTGGAAATAAAATCAAATCGTCCAGTGCTTCCAGATTTCTAGTAGGGCTCTAACAATCATAGATTCACGATTTCGCTAAAACAAAACAATCTCCATATTCCCTATAATGAAAAATCGTACAATGTGCTCACTACTGACTAGTTTCATGAGGAAATTCTCGTCGGAGTTCTAATGAGAAGACGTGACCACAGTGGAGTTCAACCTTGTTGGGTGTAGGCAGTAACTGCCCAAGACAAAATGGGTTAGATTGCGCAAAATCCTTAAATTGATCAAAGTTAGACATTAACACCACTCAAGATCGAAGGTCCTGGGTTCGAATCCCGTGAGTAGCAGAAGACGGGGATACGCACTGCTGATCAGTCCAGTGCTTCCGGGTTTCGAAATCAAACGTCTAACAATGATTCATTCATAATTTCAATAACAATCAATGAATTGATGAAACGTACGCGTGTAATCTTGACCAAGACAATGTATCTGTACCATCCATTGTATGCTGAACACGTTGTCGAGCTGATTCAATACACTTGGCCAATGTTATAACAGTAGTACTATTATTATCTGTATCAGTACTCGTACAAGTAGATAATGGCATACAATCAGTTTCTTTCATGAATGGATCTAATAGGAAACTTAAAAATAAATTCAATTCAGCATTTGTACACAGTGCTAAATTAGTGAATATAGCTGAGGTGAATTGACCTTTGGCTAATTGTAATCGACCATATAATATGCTGGAATATAAAAAAATGTGAAAAAAAACACACATTGAGAATGTCGTTAATAAAATGACGTAGATAAATATCACAATTAAAAAATCCTAAACGACAACTATCTTCTATGGTTACTGGCCATGTTCTAAGTTAGTGTTAGTTACAACGTAGAAATTCGTAAGTACGTCGATCAGTTTAAGTTGCCATACCTACGTTAGCACGTAGTGGTAAAGCTTGTAATACTATTGTCGTGAACGAGAACACAGGTGGGGCAACCAAATTGTATTTATCGGAAATTACAGAGTTACTCAGTAAAATCGGAAAACCATATCGTAAATCGTTCATTTGCAAAATATCAGTCCATCGTCATCTCGAACTGGACTGTTCCTGTTGCAAAACATCAATCGATTGCCACTATTCATGCGTTTCATAAAAATTCCATTGTGTTCTAACTCTTCCTTTCTTGATCTTCCCCCATCTTCTGCTGCCAGACATTAAGTTGACACTCACGTCATATTCTACTTATAAGTAGCTCACACCACAGTCTAACACACTGATTCATTCACAATTCCAGGGTGTAAAACAACAATCTTCATAACTCTATCATGAAAAATTGTAGAAGCTCGTTCGATTACATTTGAATCGACTAAATAAATGGTCATCAGTATGAACAAACAAACAAATCTACTTCGAAATTGAATACATGATTCTATGAAGCAATTCAAAATTGACATTCAATCGAATAGATTTCAATCCGCGCTCTAGCATTGGACAATTTTACCTGTCTAAGTATTTGAATCTACGCATCAACATTGAAGCGTATTCAACCATCAAATAGTTGCGTGTCGTTACTACTTTTACAAACAATATAAGTAGTATGGCATTACACTGAGTAAATTTATCCAGAAACAAAAATAAATGAGTGAAAGAATTTTATGCACGGTTATATACTATATATATTGTACAATAGAAAAAGGAATAATCACCGTAACAAAACTCCACCAATACATTCACGATGTTCCGGAGAATGTAAACTTGTGTCCAATCGAAATGTACGCACAGCATCACGAAATGTTTGTGGATTGATAATCTTTTCAATTTGTTCTCTGAAAATAATTTTCAGGAACAATTATCAAGAGTGAAAATAAATGACAAAAAACGGTCACATACAAGTAAACAAGAAAAAACAGGCATTCACAGTTAGTGTGAATATGGAATGCATGTATCCATGTGTGTGCTTATACATAACTCCGCCTGGAGCTCTCCTGGGGTTACTGCCGGTCCCAAGTCCGGATAAAGGAGGATGGTTGAGCGTGGGGTTAGTTACCCTATCCAGTAGAAATGTAAAGCTAACCAGAAAAGAAATTCGCTGGTCGGCGGAGTATGCTACAACATTAGAAGTGACAGGTTTAAATATGAGTGCTGATTTTTGAAAATATATGGTATGGAATTTATTAATTTAAACACAAGAAAATCGGTTCGAAAGGACACCTAAATATTTGAATTACGCCTGCACGTAAACACGTCAACTTGATATACTTGAACTATTACGAGTTTACCTAGTCGGAAAACGAGAGCGAGGATCCGGCGATACAACATACTACTCAAATCCGATTATCCCCCCCCCCTTAGATTGAGTAAAAATAAGAAGACATGATATGAAGTAGAATCTGTATTCTACAATCATCCAGAAAGTACGATGTTCAAGTCCAGAAGAGAAACAGGATCCCGGACTAGGGATCCGGGACCGGGTACTGGTCCTGGTCCTAAAACGTTACAGATAATGCGCATTTATACATTTCGGTCGAATAGGAAATAGCATCGAAGTCTGTGACATTGACACTTAAGACGACCAACAGGAAGCAACATTTGAAGTGATATTGATAGTCAGGACAACCAATAAGAGACAACATTGGTGCACGTAACATTGATATCTAGGACGACCATAAAATTGACCAGTAGGAATCAACCAATAGGAATTGACCAATAATAATTCTCTTAGGATATTGGATGAATATTCTAACAATTTGTGGAACACAAACTTATACAATTGTGATTAGGTTGATAAGGAACCGAATTTCATGGTTTTCTCATATGGACACTCCCTGAATATTTGACCTACAGGTCTAATCACAGACGACAATGAAGCTACGTTACGAGATGCCGTCAAATGATAGTCCGTGACTGATACTAGGCTCATACGCCATTTGTTTACTGACAAAGCTCAATACCATATGTGTATTATTAGTCCGGAATGAGGATTTTCCGACTGCCTTAGATAAATCCTTCATACTGATCGACCAGGTTAAAGCACGGGACACCTGTTTGTCATCCTCTCGATTTCGTACACAACACTGGTGCCATGTGTCATAAGAACGTAGTAAGTAGGGATTCCGCGGCAGAGGCTAGATACACACACGGGAATGTATGACATAGGTTGGTAGGGAACTGAATTTCATGGTTTTCTCATATGGACACTCCCTGAATATTTGACCTACAGGTCTAATCACAGACGACAATGAAGCTACGTTACGAGATGCCGTCAAATGATAGTCCGTGACTGATACTAGGCTCATACGCCATTTGTTTACTGACAAAGCTCAATACCATATGTGTATTATTAGTCCGGAATGAGGATTTTCCGACTGCCTTAGATAAATCCTTCATACTGATCGACCAGGTTAAAGCACGGGACACCTGTTTGTCATCCTCTCGATTTCGTACACAACACTGGTGCCATGTGTCATAAGAACGTAGTAAGTAGGGATTCCGCGGCAGAGGCTAGATACACACACGGGAATGTATGACATAGTAACTCCAATTTCTAGGTACAATATGGTCAGTTGTCATGGACTGACTGATCACTATCTTCATAACTGACAACAAGGCAACAAACTTCACTGATCACAACTTTTTCTAATCTATAATAATTCTTCTAAATTTAAACTGATCTGCACATTTACTTATTCGATAATCAAAATAGATTGAGACTGAGATGTCAAGAGAATTCAACTTTTTGTTACCGCCTCATCCTTAACCTAAGAAAATGATTGCAAGGGTGTACTGTTCTAGGAGCTCTTTTCTACAGGTATTCTGATCTACAATAATGAATGTGTTGTCGATGTAGCGGCAATATTGATCTAGTTTCTTAGTTAGCCCATTCATTAAGGGGTAGAAATCAGCTAAAATTAGATCTATAGGTGTGAGCCCATAACTATTCCGTTTATTTGTCTGTATTAAGGTATTTTTCAAGACAAAATAGACGTTCAGCGCGCACACCTAAAGAGCAATTCATTCAGAATATCCTTAAAGAAGTCCATGGTAATGTTATAATGCTGCTGCTACGTAGCTATTCAAATCCTACCAACGTCCGAATTCAAATATTCCAATACGACCCAAATACTATTCCTAATCTCCTGTATATTATCAGAACACAACGCCGTTAGATGAAGTTGTTTAATGGGGTAGAGTACATTAGAGAAGAATGCAGCTTTACAGATAATGCGTATTTGTACATTATGGTCGAACAGGAAACAGCATCGAAGTCTGTGACATTGACAGTTAAGACGACCAATAGGAAGCAATATTTGAAGTGACATTGACAGTGCAGACGACCAATAAGAAACAATATTGGAGCACGTGACATTGATATCTAGGACGACCATAAAACTAACCAGTAGGAATTAACCAATAATAAGATGAATATCCTAACAGTTAATTAGGTTTTCTGACATTTGCTCACATTTAAACTCAATCGTTTCGACTAGTGGCATACTACTCATGCATACTCAACTGTATTGAGAACGGACACACATTCAACAATGTTCGTAAGCCATCACTGAATACAATCCATTCTAGTCATTCAAATCAACTCCGAAAAGTTAGATTAAATAAATCAAGAGAAAAATGCAACAAAAACGGAGATTACGTAATACTTCGGTAATCAATCATTGACTTACTGGTAATTATTAATTGCTGGTTTCTTATAAGCCAGTAAACAATTGAATGCTGCTTTTTGTATCGAAGGTTGTTTAAATTTCAATAACTTTTTTGTAAATGATTTAAACAAAAAGAAAAGGCGGGAAATTAAATTAATGATGATAGATGAGAAGAGATTGAATAACGTAATTAATTAGAAATATATTAATTTTCACTAAAGGGGTTTGTGGAGATTGTTGAGTTCCAATGTGATATGCTTGAAACGATTACGAGTTCACCTTAATCGATAAACGCAAACGGGACAATGAAACAATGTGACATGATAGGCTACTCTGATCCGTTGCTCCAGCTAACTGAAGAAAAAGTCTTGATATGATGTTAAAAGTGTGCTCTAAGAACACCCAGCAAGTACAATGCAATCAAGCACACAAATCGTGTTGATTTATACACAATAGAAACCTCCTTTGGAGAGTCACAAAAATAGCATACTAAAATAGCACATTAACCAATCACAGACAAGGACTTTTCTGGCAGGAAATGTAATCTCAAGGTCAGCTGATCAACCGATGAATAAAATCCAAAATTAAGACCTTTGTCAAGTGAGCTCTGGGGATCTAATGTCCCCGACACAATGAAATCATGAATTGATCAATGTTATACTAGAGGTTAAGCGTCCGTTCAAAAGACCGAAGGTCCTTGTATCGATTCTTAGGTGCAGCAGTCGTGTATGCGCACTGCTATGGATGAGTCCCATACTAGGATTAAACGACCATCCAATGCTTCCAGGTATCTATTGGTAATTCATGATTTCAACAAGGTAACTCAAAAATCTTCACGATACTATAATGAAAATTATCATGTTCTCACTAATGACCAGCTCTGTGATGAATTTTATCTGAGTTCTAGTTAGAAGTAGTGACCAGTAAAGTTCAGCACTGTTATGGTGTATAGCTGTGTTCACAGAAGTCAGTGGATTAAGTTGCGCAACACCATTGGATGTTGGCTCAGTGGTCTAGAGGGTAGGCGATCGCATGAAAGACCGGTCATGGTTTTGATTCCTGTGAGTTGTGGATGCGCACTGCTGATGAGTCCCATACCTGGACGAAACGGCCGTCTAGTGATACTTCCAGGTTTCTAATGGTGGTCTAACAGTGGTTGATTGATGATTTCAAATGTGTAAAAAAAACACTAATATCCAATACTCTAACCGAAAATTATTCATGCATTGTTGTGAATTACTGGGACTTTTGTTTTAATTACTAATCAACTGAATAATTTAACACTGAATTGTTAATAATTATTGTTGGGGACGTTAGATCCCCCAAACTCGCAAGATAAATGCCTTATTTCGGATTTCACGTTTCCGAACATGGGCTGATCAGTTGACCTTAAGATTTCATTTCCCACCAAGAAAATCCTTGGCTGTGATTGGTTGATGTGTTATTTTAGTGTGCTATTTTTGTAACTGTCCCAAGGACGTTTCTATGATGTATAAATAAACGAGATTTGTGCTTGCTAGATGTTTGTACAACATACTTTCTACGCTATATCAAGACTTCTTAGTTAGTCATCTGATCAGGGTAGTCTAACTGAACGCTGGTTCATTGTCTCGTTCGCGTTTATCGACTAGAGTGAAGCAGTAATAGTTTCAAGCATACTTAGTGTTACGCATGCACGTAAACACGTTAACTTGATATACTTGAACTATTACGAGTTTACCTAGTCGGAAAACGAGAGCGAGCAACGAGGATCCGCTAACACGACATGCTACCCGAATCCGATTATTCTAACCCCTATATTGAGTAAAAGAAGACAAGACTTGATGTGAAGTACAACCTGTATTCTATAAGCATCCAGAAAGTACGAGGTCCAAATTCAGAAGAGAATCAGGATCCCAGACTAGGGATCCGGGACCGGGTCCTGGTCGTGGTCATAAAACGTTACACATAATGCATATTTATACATTTTGGTCGAATAGGAAACAGCATTGACTTCTGTGACATTGACAGTTAAGACGACCAATAGGAAGCAATATTTGGAGTGACATTGATAGTCAGGACAACCAATAAGAAACAACATTGGAGCACGTGACAATGATACCTAGGACGATCATAAAATTGACCAGTAGAAATTAACCAATAGGAGGAATAGACCAATAATTCTCTTAGGATATTGGATGAATATCCTAACAGAGGCAATTCACGTTTTGATTATCTTTTATCTTCTGGTTAGTGTCATAATAATGTCAAAAAACAACAGTTTAAAAATTAACTTACTTGATAAATGTTTTGTTTAAATTCTTTCTCCATATAAATTGATTTAATATTGGTGAATTGTGCGAACAAATTCAAGATAGTTAACAGTAGTCTAAAACAAACGAAAGAGAGAGACAGAGAGAGAGAGAGAGTCAGTCAGTCAGTTACAACGTAGAACTTCGTACGTATGTGTACATAAGTTCATGTCGCCATACCACTACATTAGCACACACAGACGCAAATGTCAAATCAAATCCAACAGGGATAAAGATAGTAGAGGCATTAATGGTAATGAAGAAGACTAGAGTTCGAAGATATTAATTATTCAAGAAGTATAATTCAGTGAGTGAGATAAGGTTAGAAAGACAAAGGTAGAGGTGCTGACGAATCCAGAAGATTAGGATTCGAGAAGGAGAGAACAGCTTTTCTTTTTCGTGTTTTCGGTCCAACTTATTAGATAAAAAAAATTAAACTGATGATAAACATATTTTACTGAGAGAATGATGAATTGATTGAGGCTACTGCCGGTCCTAAGACCGGCGGATAAAGGAGGAGGGTTGAACATGGGGTTGGCGACCCCATCCCGTCAAAAACTAACTAGCCAAACAAAAAACCCTAACCAGAAAAACTAATAATTCAAACCATTTTAACTTTGCCCTGGGAGTTGGAGGAAGAAGAATTATGACGTTGCGTGATGAAAGAGCCGAGTTAGTTCCCTCGGAAGTCACGGGGCCGATGTCTCTTCTGACAACCAGAGCAAGCATTTTTTAGGTACATGGAACGTTCGTACATTGTGGGAGACTAGAAGACTATTCCAAGTTGCGGCAGAAATGAAAAGATACAACCTCGAGGTGCTTGGAATCAGTGAAACACATTGGACACAGGTAGGACAACTGAGACTAGCTTCAGGAGAACTGCTGTTATACTCTGGTCATGAAGAGGAAAATGCTTCACATACACAAGGAGTTGCACTGATGTCCACGAGAACAAACCAGATTCGATTGGAGGAGGAAATGAGGAAGAAGCGCTGGAAGTGGATAGGACACACATTACGAAAAGCACCTAACTGCGTCACAAGATAAGCCCTCACATGGAACCCTCAATGTCAAAGAAAAAGAGGAAGGCCAAACAATACATTACGCCGAGAAATAGAGAAAGATATGAGAGGAATGAACAAACATTGGACAAAAGTGGAGAAGGAAGCCCAGGACGTAGTTGGCTGGACAAGAAATGGTGGGCGGCGCCTATGCTCCATTGGGGGTAAGAGGTGTAAGTAAGTAAGTAAGTAAGTAAGTAAGTAAGTAATATGACTCTTTAATATTACATCAATAGACAGACAAATGAAGACAAACTCACTGTTCCGATGATTTGCTTAGACCAGATTGAATAGCAGAACTAGAAAATAAAGGAGCGGAAATAGAAAGAAAATAAACATCACCATCATCATCATTATTATTACGTTCAATGTTCAACAAATTAAAAAAAAATATATTTGCGCATCTTTTTAAAATTGTGATCTATCATATCGTAAACTGATAAATAGAATATGAATAATTAACCTGTATAAAAAAAACATTTTTTTTAGTAGAAAAGATTAATTTAAACGGAGTTTAAAAAAATTATTTCTAGGTTCATTTGATTAAAATTGTAATACAAGAAAGACTGCTTCGACAAGCTTTTTTTTGTTGTGTAAGAGTAGGTTGGAAGAAATCTAGGGGTAGGCAAACTAAAACATGGCTCAAATCCATGAAGTCACTGACAAGTGGACTGAGTCATGTTGGTAGATGTAGGCTTACCTGGTTGAGGTCCGCGAGACGAAAGTCATCAATGGTTAGAGACTTTGAACGACATGGCTCAGAATCGTTTGCAATGGCGCATGTGCATCCACTCTTTGTGTTCTCTCCAATTGTAACCTTCTGAACTCCTCATAATCTCTATCTTTCTCTTTCTAAATTTATCTCACTGAATTATACTTCTAGAAAAATATATCTTCGCTCCCTAATTTTCTCCATTACTGCTAATGATTCTACTATCGCTATCACTTTTGGATGTGAACTGACAGTTGCGTCTCTATGCTAATGTGGTATGGCAACCTGAACTGATGTACGCACATGTATGAAGTTCTACGTTGTGACTCACTGACTGACTGGTATTATGGTCTAGTTGAAGTAGTGAATATTTCACGTAGACCGTCCCATCTAATACAAACAGTTGTCTGGTGTGATTAGTAACATGATGACATTGAGAAAACAACTGAGAACAATATGTGTGTAGCGACTATTGCTTTAGATAAAACGCAGTTCTACTACAGTTTTATCAGTTCCGTTTTATTTTATCATTATACCGTTACTGGAAGAAGAAATCACTAGGCAACAGTCAGTCAGTTTGCAAATCCTTACTGTCCTGCTTAGTCAGACAGCGCATAAGCGACTATCTATTGAGATTCATTCTAATAGAGCTAGTTCTGCCCTACGACTCATACTATACCACGAAAAACAGCAGCGCGGCTTCCAGATACACGGAGCGTAAAACAAGTCGATTCTCTATCGGGACAATTTAACCAGAGACAGAGACGCAGCATATTTTGACGGCGCGAGATTCTAGGGTCCTAGCTAAAGAAGTTAGTCGTTCTGTTTGACATAATACCCGGACATTGAAAACTCCAACATGTAGTATAGAGGGGTGTTTCAGGAGACCAGGAATAACGTTTTATAACCTCGAATTGTTTGTATTAGCGGCCTGGGGTGATAAATGAATGTGAGGAGGGTTGGCCATGGAGATAAGAGTTAGTAAGTGTAGGAAGGATTTGATTATGACCGATTAGGTCTCGTGTGCTGATACGAATAGGCGAGCGAATCTCACTTCCCGGCTGCTCACACCGTAGAAAGGCTCTGATTGTCACAAGTTATGTGTTTACATACAAAAAGAAAGTAGTAAACGCACCGTCAAAATCAGTTTTTTTTTAAAAAAAAGACAGACAGACACACACAAACACACACACTGAATAGTTTAACAACTGCTCACTTTATCAAATCTAATAATAACGGTGTTAAAAACTGTGTATATTTTGCAGCCATTTTCCAACGTAAACATTTCCATAAACATAAACGATAAGTTGACCAATCAGAATTGGGTTTAGATTCAATGATTAACCAATCACTGGTGGTGGTGGTGTTTGGTATTCTTCTTTGTAAACTATACAAATTTGGACGAATTGATGTATACCATAGAATTGCTGTTTCATACGAGCAAGTATACAAGTTGGTTTCATTCGGATTGGAATTGGGTTCTTTTGAATCTGTGAACCATGAAACAAAAAAAGAATTAAACTATTTTCAGTTGGATGGAATGACAGACAGACAGGCAGATACAATGCAGAACTTTGTACATAAGTACATCAGTTCAAGTTGCCCCATACCACATCAGCACAGAGATGTAATTGTCAGTTCACATCCAACAGTGATAGCGAAAGTAGAAGTATCAGAAGTAATGGAGAAGATTAGGGAGCGAAGATATGTTTCGAGAAGTATAATTCAGTGAGATAACTTTAGAAGAAGAATGATGGAGATGATGAGGAATTCAGAAGGTTAGAATTAAAAACCACACAAAGAGTGGATGGACCTGCGCCATTGCAAACGATTCTGCGTCTCGCGGACCCCAACCAGGTAGCCTACATCTACCAACATGATTCAGTCCACTTGTCAGTGACTTCATGGATTTTTTCGAACCTATTCCTACACCACAAAACATAGCTCGTTGCGGCAGTAGGTGGTTAGGCATTCGTAACACATGTCCCAACCACCTCAACTGATGAAGTTTCACCACTTCATCTATTGATCTGCCATCCGTACCTAGAACTCGTTTCCTAACGATAGCATTGCTTATCCGGTCGTCCCAGGATACACAAGCAATGCTTCGGAGACATCGATGACCGAAGACTAGTAACCTACGAATGTCCTCTTCTCTTACCAGCCATGTTTCGCATCCATATAGTAGGACAGAGCGAACTGCTGCACAGTAAACAGCAGTTCGCTCTGTCCTGCAGATGATAGGGATGTTATGAAAAAAATGAGAAAAAAAGAAGTTGGAAGCAGACATTAAAAGTATGAACAGCAATTGTATAGAACGGTGAAAGATTGTCCAGGACCAAGTAGGTTGGCGGGCTATGTTGCTTTAGGGATAACAGGTGTAAGTAAGTCAGCAAGTAAGTAAATATACGCATTCATGTGTTTATCTTCAAGTTATTATCGAAGTGTGAGGGGTACAATGGGTGCTGATTGCTTGGTGACTGACCAAATCTCAGCACGGATACACAAAGCTTGATTGGCTTTTACCAACCTGAGTCACTTATGGAGAAGTCGAGATATCCGTTTTCTGACTAAAGGATGAATGTACTGAGCAGAAGTTCACTCCGTTCTACTATATGGATCCGAAACATGGCCCTTAAGAGTAGAGGACATTCGTAGGTTACTAGTATTCGTGTATCATGAGACACCCGAGTAAGTAATGCTGTTGTTAGGAAACGGGTGCTAGGTAAGGATGGCAGATCAATAGATGAACTGGTGGTTGGGACATGTATTACGAATTCACAACCACCGACTGCCTCGACGAGCTATGTTTTGTGTAGTTTTAGGCTGGAAGTAGGTTGGGGGCGGCCAGAACAAAACATGGCACAAATCCATGAAGTCACTGACAAGTGGATTGAGTCATATTGGTAGATGTAGGATACGTGGCTAGGGTCCACAAGACGAAAGTCACAGATGGTTAGAGACCTTGGAAGACATGGCTCAAAATCGTTTGCAATGGTGCAAGTGCATCCACTTTTTGTGTTCTCTCAAATTCTAATCTTCTGGATTCATCAACACCTCTACTTTTGTTTTTCTAAACCTATTTCATTGAATTATACTTCTTGAATAAATATCTTGGAACCCTAATCCTCTCTATTACCAGTAGTACTCCTACTATGTCTAACACTATGGGATTTGAATTGACAATTACATCTGCGTACTAATGTGGTATGGCAGATGGACTGTAAGAAAAAGAGAATAAATATAGCATGTGGAAAAACGTAGAAGGAGAGCCCAGGGGAGAGAGAGGATCGGAGGATGCTGATCAGTGATCAATGGTTCATGAGAGGGACAAGGTGTCAATATATAAGTTGGTTTCCCTATCTGAAGAAGATAGAATAGAGTTGGGATCTAGGATTTCGGGGTCAAACAGCTTTTAATTACCAGCTTACTGCATATCATCAAGTATATGACATTGAATGAAAATTTTGTTAAACACTTGCTGACATTTCCAGTCATATTTTTTGGAACATCTGTCTGTCACTTAGTTGGAAGCAACGTAAATAAAACGTGGTAAATAAGTGCATTGATTCAAACTACCAAACAACTACATCAATAGTCGATCAGTCAGTGCAAATGTACAACTTGGTAGGCACATATATCAATTCAAGTTGCCGTACAGTATTACCACAGATAGATGAAATAATCAGCATATCGTCTGACACTAGCGGTCTGGCTTGTCTATCGTGATGACTCAACCGAACTACATTGGTTGTAACACCAGCTCCTTTAGGTCCTACCTTGCCAGGCAAGTTGAATGGAGAAGGGTAAGACTAAAAAGCACCAACTTGGGATTTGAGGGCGCAATTATACCACTCACTGTAAAGGGGGTATTGTGACAGCAGTAAGGTGTTTCCCTCAGTCGCTCAGCATCTACAGCGATGCTACTACTTTGGAATCGAAGGAGTGATAGTTCAAATAATCGTACGGACTTCCGTCTCCGACGGGAAGGGTCGTGTGAAAAATTTCCCATAAAAAAGTCGTTCGTGACTAGTCTGTAGTAGTTGTCCGTTGAACTGTGTCCATGCTTTCCGGTGGCTGAGACCAAAGCCAATCCGACTTCCTTTTTCAGGCGACTCAAGAAGAAATACCCTTCTACGGTACGGGCAACCAGTAAGTGACATCCGATTTCATTATCTTTTGACAATAGTTACACGCAAAAATAAAAACATCAAACGTGATTAGTCAAAATACATTTTACATTATAGTATTATGAAGATTGTTGTAAGAAACCTGGAAGCACTGGACAACCGTTTGACCCTGTGTATGTAATTCATCAGCAGTGAACACCCATAGCGCCCGCTGCTCGCAGGATTCGGACCCCCGTGTTGCGCGCGAACGACTAACCCCTGAACCACTCTGATCAATCTAGGGATTTTGCGAGACTTCACCCATTGCTCTTCAGTAGTTACTGCATCACTCCCCACAGGGTTGAACTCTACTCTGGTGGTTACTGCTTCTCACTAGAACTCAGAAAATTTCTCAAGAATGCAAAAGAAATCTTAGACAGAATGATAGTTTGATAGACAGGTAGACAGCTAGATAGATAGACACATATATCGATACTAACCTTTACCATTGTTAGAATCCATAATTTTCGCTTCAACCTTCATTAACAATGGTTGAAATATACTCCAAAATAGATTTCTACATTCAATAGACCATTGTTTTTCTCTTGAATGTAATTCATTTGTTGAATTCTTCTGGCATGGAGTTGATTTATTTTTCAACGATCCAGTTGAAAATTCCGTGTAACTTGCAATTGCTTCATACAATGATGACCAAATTGCAGTGAATTGAACATGAAGTAAACCGAATAGATAGTGTAGAGCAATCTGTTGAAAGAAAGCGAACAACATACGTATGTATATTGTATGTAAACATTTCAAATGAAGTTTATGTGTCATTAAACTGTTGGGGATGTTAGATCCTCAAAATTCGCTTGATAAATGCCTAAGCTTTGGTTTTCACGTTTGCGAGCATTGGCTGATCAGTTGACCTTGACCAGGAAAATCCATGGCTGTGATTGGCTGCTGTGTATTTTAGTGTGCTATTTTCTTAACTGTCTCAAAGACGTTTCTATGATGTATAAATTAACGAGAGTCGTATGCTTGATTGTATTGTGATTGCTGGGTGTTTGTAGAATATACTTTCTACTCTACATAAAGACTTCTGCTTTACAGTTTGGGATTCAAGTTAACCTACCTGGACGCTGGTAAAAGTCTCGTTCACGTTTATCGACTAAGTGACGAACCCAATATAAACATATAATCTATGTGTCCTTACTAGCGACTACTAGTCTGATGAGTTTAAGGTGAGAAGACGTGACCGGTGGAGACAGTTCAACCTTGTCGGGGGGTCGGTAGTTACCTACTGAAGACAACAATGAGTGAGGTTGTGTAATACCTTGGATTGATTAAAGGTGGACATTAACACCGTTCGCACGCAAGACCAAAGGTCCTTCATTTGATTCCTGCACCTTAGAGTCATAGAGGTGCTCTTACTGGTAAATATCACTTGCAGTGTGTTCCGATAAATGTCGAGCCCATAGGGCTTATCCAAGCCTTTTGACAATGACGCAGGTGCATTTATTCATTGTGTTCTCTTAAATTCTAACCTTTCGAATTTCTCATCATCTCTATATCCTTCACTTACTAAAATTATCTCATTGAATTATACTTCTCGAATCATATCTTCGAACCCTAATCTTCTCAATTACTGCCAATACTTTGACTATCTCTAACACTATGGGATTTGAACTGACGGTTGCGTTTCTGTGCTGATGGGGTTTGGCCACCTGAACTTATGTACTCATTCACGTTCCTCGAGTTGGTGTATGCATACGTCCCCTTTGATCTCATCAACTGTTCACTCCTAACTTTGGTTGTTTTTACTTGAGTGCATATATGCATAGCTCAATTTCGCTCATCACATATCTAGCTTATTTTTGTCGTCTGACTACAAGTAATTAATTACGCATGATTACAGTGAGTTGGCTCAGTCGCCTTCTTCACTTCGCTTCGCCTTGAGTGTACAATTTTCCATTCTCATGTCTGTCTGCATGAACTATTTTACATGAAATAAACTCATCCAAATAAATCCGTATTTGGCTCCTTACTTACCACCAACGCACAAACGGGCTTCTTCTAAGTATTATATATACGGAAATTCAAGGGAAGATTAACTTCAAAGCATATTTAATCATTCGTGTAAATTAGAGTCAGATCACAGGCCAATAAAACACTTTTCAATAAGGCATATTTTAAAAAAAAAACTTAATGTTAACGGGACATAGATGGATTAAAGCATGACTGAGTTAGCTGCACGTTGATTGGCTAATTCTCATCTAATCAGTGCCTGGTCGAAAGTACATTCCAGAAGCTTCTCATATAAAAAAACTATAAAGAGACTAACGTTGTTCCTGTTTCGCCGTCGCTTCGACTACTTACTTACATTTAACCTTGCTGTTTGGAATATAATCTTTTTCCTCTTTAACCAAAATTACGATCTTTTGCAAGTGAGTTCTGGGGATCTAACGTCCCCAACAGTTGGACATACGGTTAGCGACCCCATCAAGTAGTAATCCAACTGACTAAAAAAAAGCGCTAGTCCAAAAAATAATTCACTGAGTTGCCGACCTATGCTCCATCAGAGATAACAGACGTAAGAATGTGTGTAGGTAAGATGCACATAATATTGACACAACAATCAATTCAAATCAATCGATCAACCGATCAATCAATCAATCAGATCACTAACCTCAGCTGCTTCTTTACAATATTTCACATCACGATCAGCATGTAAGGCTAGGATACACATTAAAAAATCACGTACAGTTTGAAAACCAAGTTGTATTCGTTCAGTTTTTAAACATTTTTCAATAATATTTACTATGGTCGATTCGAAATGATCATTCGGATTACTACAATCAGTCGAATGCATTATTACGTCACCATGAATGATTGAGAAAATTCTTAGAATATGTAATCTTATCTAATAATAATAATAAGGAATAAAAGGAAAGATTGCAAGTTAACATTCTTACGTAATTTGTAAATATATATATATATATATATATATATATATATGTGGTGCTGTGGTGCGAACTACTTATAAGTAGTATATAACGTGAGTGTCAACGTAAAGTCTGGTAGCATAATATGGGGGGAAGATCAAGAAAGGAAGAGTTAGAACACAATGGAATTTGTATGAAACGCATGAATAGTGACAATGGATTGATGTTTAGCAACAGGAACAGTCCAGTTCCATAGGATGAACTGATCTTTTGCAAATGAACGATTTACGATATGGTTTTCCGATTTTACTGAGTAACTCTGTAATTTTGTTGCCCCACCTGTGTTCTCATTCACTACATATATATATACGGTAAAAACTACTAGAAAAAGGAGATATGTGAGCAATTTCAGCGAAGGAAGAAATCAAGCAGAGGAGAACTACCAAGTGTTTATTAACAATTTGTGTAAGCAAGATATTAAGGATCTGTTGGCTAGATACCTACCTATCAGCAACAACCAATTGTGAGAGAGAACGAATTAGATTTTAGCAAACGAAGATATCAGGAAGCAGTGCTAAGAGTGGATAGGAACACACACTGTAGAAACCAAAGAACTGCGCCACAAGATAAGCACTTACTTGGAATTCACAGGGCAAAAGGAAAAAAGGAAGACCATAGAACAGAATAAGACTTGCAGCATGTTGATTTGGCCAACAGAACTATGTTTTGTGGTGTAGGAGTAGTAGGTTGGAAGAAAGTTAGGGGCGGCCAAACCAAAACATGGCAGAAATTAATGAATTCACTGACAAGTGGACTGAGTCATGTTGGTAGATGTAGGCTATCTGGGTGAGGGCGGCGAGACGAAAGTCACACACAGTTAGAAACCTTGAACAACGACATGGCTCAGAATCGTTTGCAATGGCGCATATGCATCCACTCTTTGTGTTCTCTCGAATTCTAACCTTCTAAATTCCTCATCATCTCTATCTTTCTCCTTCTAAATTTATCTTACTGAATTATACTTTTCGAATCTTATCTTCGAACTATAATCTTCTCCATTACTGCTAATAATTCTACTATCACTATCACTCTTGGATTTGAACTGACAATTGCGTCTGTGTGTTGATGTGGTATGGGGCAACCTGAACTGATGTACGTACATGTACAAAGTTCTGCGTTGTATCTGTCTGTCTGTCTATCTGATTTGGCCAACAAAATGAAACACTTTGATTGGCTTATCAGCTAATCGGTTGATAAAACACTATCGATTTGGCTTATATAAAATAATTCAACCGATGCTAACAGACATTAAAACTAACAGTGAATGAAGAGGTTTAATTTGATGAATAATTAACGTCATACATGTTACAATTATTCCTTGTCAATGAAAAACAAACATTTGACTATGAAAGTTTGGACTAGTGTTAAGAGTTAGGTTTATCAACCCATCCATAGAATTCTTGCCGTCAATTGAGACCACCTATGATACGAAAACGTTCAAGTTAAGTGTTAAAACTGAAGTTGGAGTTTTGAGTTTCGTTTTTTTAAATCGCAAACTGACGCCAGCTTTGAGGCAATGTTGTGTTAGTCTTCTGTTTGCAAACGTAGGAAACTTATGATTGAGATTTAGATTAGGAGTTAGAAAAGAGAAAGTATTATCTAATTTCAGTGAAACATTCTCGCACGTCGGTCTTAAGATCACGAACCTATTGTTAATAAATAGCCTAACATGACGCTGAATCTCATTACATAATCCCGTTGCCTTCGTGTCAAGTAATCGTGCAGGCGTTCCACTAAGAAAAGCATCAACTTCGACTGAACCGTTCAAACAGTATCTTAGCAAAACTCATATGAAGTAGTGAATCTTCACCATCATCAGTTGAGGTGGTAAGGACAAGTGTTATGCATGCCCTACCATTGACTATCATGAAGAACGATTTTGGCTGATATAAGTGTAGGCTGAAAGAAAGTCAGAAGGGTCCATATCAAAACATGGTACAAATCCATGAAGTCACTAACAACTGGACTGAACCATGTTGATAGGTGTCGACTATCTGGTCAGGGTCAGACAGACAGTAGAAACCGATGGTTAGAGACCCTGAATGACATAGCTCAAAATTATTTGCAATGGCGAAGGAGCATCCATCCACTGTTTTCGCTCAAATTTGAATCTTCCGATTTCCTCAAGACCTTCATCTGTCCTTTCTCAAATACAATTCACTGGATTATACTTCTCGTATAATAACTTCAAATCCTAATCTTTTCCATCATTGCTAATACTTTCAACTGAGTCTACTACTACTACTACTACCGAATTTGAAATGACAATTCAATCTCTCTCTCTCTCTGCTAATATGATAATGGCAACTTGAATTGATGTAAGTACATGCGTAAGAAGTTCCAAGTTGTAGATGACTAACTCAGCAATCCAATAAATTGTGTTTCACCCTGCCTCTCAGTAGAGTCCCCAACACCACCACCTTCGCCCTCTGCTCCTTGACTCCTACCAGCTCCTCGACGGCTTCGAACTCCTTAAAGAAGCTACTTACATCTCCGTCTTTAAACTCCCGAGGTCATCGGATCTTCATCCTGTTTAGAGGCAGCGACACCAATTGAGAAGTTTGAGACAGGCGAGGAAGATTGTATTAAGCAAATTTACACTCTGAGTCAATTAAAAACGACAATATTACATTGAACACTCTATTTGCACACCATCTTTGAGTCATGACTTCCAACGCTCCATCCTTCTTTTTCCATTCCTGCTGTTGCTTCCATCCTTCCTGTTGGTACTCCATTTACTTCTTGCTTTTGCTCCATTTGCTTTCCGTTTTCCTCTTCTCATCCTGCGAATTCTTCTTTTTTCACATCCCTTCTTATACTACTTATATCGTTCGTATAAGTAGCACACACCACACTGCCATTCTCACACAAGGTTCGAACAAAATCATTAAAACAAAAAAACGACATACACTATATTTACCTGATGGCTATGAGACATTAAAAATGGCAATAAACTGTTATGCAGTACATTTCGATTGATCAATACGTGTTGTTTAAATTCATCGCTGAGCATCAATAAATGGATGAGAACATCAATTATACGTAAAATAATACAACAATACTCTGGATCAAATTGATGATAAGATCTGAAATATGAAAAAAAAACAAAACATGAAGGAGTATTATTTCTTTATGATAGAATTTGTGAAGATTGTACAAGGAAATAATCAATCCATCGATCAACCAATCATTGTTAGACTACCGATTAGAAACCTAGAACCATTGAACGGGCGTTCCGTCCTGGTGTGGGAATCATCAGCGGAAATATGCATCTAAGACTCCTTCACCTCACAAGATTCGAACCCACGACTTTCAGTCGTGCACGAGAAAGCCTAACAGCTGGACCATTGAGCAAGCATACAACGGTGTTAATGTCTAACTCTGATCACTCGATAGATTATCCACGAGCACACACTATTCTCCCTCCTTCAAATTGAAAAATTCCAAAGACTGTGACATAACCATCAACGATAATGAAAAGATGGATTATAGATCACCGTTCAATATAAGCGTGGAAGATCGTACATACGAACGAAGGAAATGAGTAAAATCCATGAAAAGAGCGCGAGTCGTATATACCCACCGTTTATAAATCAGGAAAAAACAACATTGATTCAACCACACAATAGCTAAATAATTCACTCCAAAAAACAACACAACCCATTCGTCAGACAACTGACTACAACTACCACACACACACTTAACTAGACAGAAGACCAACCAACCAACCGACAATCCCAATCTCATCATCTCGTCACAATCAGCATTATTCACACGCACTATCAACACATACATACATGTCTACCCTCGATGATGGACTGCCACAGTAGTCACCAAAGGCAGTAAGAGGCAAGGGTAACACACACAATCAATATACGCAGCAATCTAATTCCGATAGACAACAACATCTATCAGAGAGTGCAGCTGCACTTTACCGACTCTATATACAAACACGCAAGCACACAAATCAACCTCATCACATATCCACCACACTATCTACATCCAGCACACACAAACAATCAATATCGCTGAGGTCCAACCCGAAAAACCAGAGAGATTACACTCTGTCGGTGTGATACACAGCTCTATATTTACGCCCACTTAACATAATGTATCATGGGCGACAACAACTCACTCACCACTCACTAAACCACCACCAACAATAACACAACACAACGTCAACATTCATTCAATCACACTTTAAGTTAAACCATTCACTACACTACACTACACTACACTACACCACACTACAAAACCAAATCCTCAATCAACTAACTACAACTACCACACACACACATTCAATTAACTCTACTGAACAAACAAACAACCAATCAACAAACCGACAATCCCAATCTCATCATCTCGTCACAATCAGCATTATTCACACGCACTATCAACACATACATACATGTCTACCCTCGATGATGGACTGCCACAGTAGTCACCAAAGGCAGTAAGAGGCAAGGGTAACACACACAATCAATATACGCAGCAATCTAATTCCGATAGACAACAACATCTATCAGAGAGTGCAGCTGCACTTTACCGACTCTATATACAAACACTCAAGCACACAAATCAACCTCATCACATATCCACCACACTGTCTACATCCAGCACACAGAAACAATCAATATCGCTGAGGTCCAACCCGAAAAACCAGAGAGATTACACTCTGTCGGTGTGATACACAGCTCTATATTTACGCCCACTTAACATAATGTATCATGGGCGACAACAACTCACTCACCACTCACTAAACCACCACCAACAATAACACAACACAACGTCAACATTCATTCAATCACACTTTAAGTTAAACCATTCACTACACTACACTACACTACACTACACTACACCACACTACAAAACCAAATCCTCAATCAACTAACTACAACTACCACACACACACATTCAATTAACTCTACTGAACAAACAAACAACCAATCAACAAACCGACAATCCCAATCTCATCATCTCGTCACAATCAGCATTATTCACACGCACTATCAACACATACATACATGTCTACCCTCGATGATGGACTGCCACAGTAGTCACCAAAGGCAGTAAGAGGCAAGGGTAACACACACAATCAATATACGCAGCAATCTAATTCCGATAGACAACAACATCTATCAGAGAGTGCAGCTGCACTTTACCGACTCTATATACAAACACTCAAGCACACAAATCAACCTCATCACATATCCACCACACTATCCACATCCAGCACACACAAACAATCAATATCGCTGAGGTCCAACCCGAAAAACCAGAGAGATTACACTCTGTCGGTGTGATACACAGCTCTATATTTACGCCCACTTAACATAATGTATCATGGGCGACAACAACTCACTCACCACTCACTAAACCACCACCAACAATAACACAACACAACATCAACATTCATTCAATCACACTTTAAGTTAAACCATTCACTACACTACACTACACTACACTACACTACACTACACTACACCACACTACAAAACCAAATCCTCAATCAACTAACTACAACTACCACACACACACATTCAATTAACTCTACTGAACAAACAAACAACCAATCAACAAACCGACAATCCCAATCTCATCATCTCGTCACAATCAGCATTATTCACACGCACTATCAACACATACATACATGTCTACCCTCGATGATGGACTGCCACAGTAGTCACCAAAGGCAGTAAGAGGCAAGGGTAACACACACAATCAATATACGCAGCAATCTAATTCCGATAGACAACAACATCTATCAGAGAGTGCAGCTGCACTTTACCGACTCTATATACAAACACGCAAGCACACAAATCAACCTCATCACATATCCACCACACTATCCACATCCAGCACACACAAACAATCAATATCGCTGAGGTCCAACCCGAAAAACCAGAGAGATTACACTCTGTCGGTGTGATACACAGCTCTATATTTACGCCCACTTAACATAATGTATCATGGGCGACAACAACTCACTCACCACTCACTAAACCACCACCAACAATAACACAACACAACGTCAACATTCATTCAATCACACTTTAAGTTAAACCATTCACTACACTACACTACACTACACTACACTACACCACACTACAAAACCAAATCCTCAATCAACTAACTACAACTACCACACACACACATTCAATTAACTCTACTGAACAAACAAACAACCAATCAACAAACCGACAATCCCAATCTCATCATCTCGTCACAATCAGCATTATTCACACGCACTATCAACACATACATACATGTCTACCCTCGATGATGGACTGCCACAGTAGTCACCAAAGGCAGTAAGAGGCAAGGGTAACACACACAATCAATATACGCAGCAATCTAATTCCGATAGACAACAACATCTATCAGAGAGTGCAGCTGCACTTTACCGACTCTATATACAAACACTCAAGCACACAAATCAACCTCATCACATATCCACCACACTATCCACATCCAGCACACACAAACAATCAATATCGCTGAGGTCCAACCCGAAAAACCAGAGAGATTACACTCTGTCGGTGTGATACACAGCTCTATATTTACGCCCACTTAACATAATGTATCATGGGCGACAACAACTCACTCACCACTCACTAAACCACCACCAACAATAACACAACACAACGTCAACATTCATTCAATCACACTTTAAGTTAAACCATTCACTACACTACACTACACTACACTACACTACACCACACTACAAAACCAAATCCTCAATCAACTAACTACAACTACCACACACACACATTCAATTAACTCTACTGAACAAACAAACAACCAATCAACAAACCGACAATCCCAATCTCATCATCTCGTCACAATCAGCATTATTCACACGCACTATCAACACATACATACATGTCTACCCTCGATGATGGACTGCCACAGTAGTCACCAAAGGCAGTAAGAGGCAAGGGTAACACACACAATCAATATACGCAGCAATCTAATTCCGATAGACAACAACATCTATCAGAGAGTGCAGCTGCACTTTACCGACTCTATATACAAACACTCAAGCACACAAATCAACCTCATCACATATCCACCACACTATCCACATCCAGCACACACAAACAATCAATATCGCTGAGGTCCAACCCGAAAAACCAGAGAGATTACACTCTGTCGGTGTGATACACAGCTCTATATTTACGCCCACTTAACATAATGTATCATGGGCGACAACAACTCACTCACCACTCACTAAACCACCACCAACAATAACACAACACAACGTCAACATTCATTCAATCACACTTTAAGTTAAACCATTCACTACACTACACTACACTACACTACACCACACTACAAAACCAAATCCTCAATCAACTAACTACAACTACCACACACACACATTCAATTAACTCTACTGAACAAACAAACAACCAATCAACAAACCGACAATCCCAATCTCATCATCTCGTCACAATCAGCATTATTCACACGCACTATCAACACATACATACATGTCTACCCTCGATGATGGACTGCCACAGTAGTCACCAAAGGCAGTAAGAGGCAAGGGTAACACACACAATCAATATACGCAGCAATCTAATTCCGATAGACAACAACATCTATCAGAGAGTGCAGCTGCACTTTACCGACTCTATATACAAACACGCAAGCACACAAATCAACCTCATCACATATCCACCACACTATCCACATCCAGCATACACAAACAATCAATATCGCTGAGGTCCAACCCGAAAAACCAGAGAGATTACACTCTGTCGGTGTGATACACAGCTCTATATTTACGCCCACTTAACATAATGTATCATGGGCGACAACAACTCACTCACCACTCACTAAACCACCACCAACAATAACACAACACAACGTCAACATTCATTCAATCACACTTTAAGTTAAACCATTCACTACACTACACTACACTACACTACACCACACTACAAAACCAAATCCTCAATCAACTAACTACAACTACCACACACACACATTCAATTAACTCTACTGAACAAACAAACAACCAATCAACAAACCGACAATCCCAATCTCATCATCTCGTCACAATCAGCATTATTCACACGCACTATCAACACATACATACATGTCTACCCTCGATGATGGACTGCCACAGTAGTCACCAAAGGCAGTAAGAGGCAAGGGTAACACACACAATCAATATACGCAGCAATCTAATTCCGATAGACAACAACATCTATCAGAGAGTGCAGCTGCACTTTACCGACTCTATATACAAACACTCAAGCACACAAATCAACCTCATCACATATCCACCACACTATCCACATCCAGCACACACAAACAATCAATATCGCTGAGGTCCAACCCGAAAAACCAGAGAGATTACACTCTGTCGGTGTGATACACAGCTCTATATTTACGCCCACTTAACATAATGTATCATGGGCGACAACAACTCACTCACCACTCACTAAACCACCACCAACAATAACACAACACAACGTCAACATTCATTCAATCACACTTTAAGTTAAACCATTCACTACACTACACTACACTACACTACACTACACCACACTACAAAACCAAATCCTCAATCAACTAACTACAACTACCACACACACACATTCAATTAACTCTACTGAACAAACAAACAACCAATCAACAAACCGACAATCCCAATCTCATCATCTCGTCACAATCAGCATTATTCACACGCACTATCAACACATACATACATGTCTACCCTCGATGATGGACTGCCACAGTAGTCACCAAAGGCAGTAAGAGGCAAGGGTAACACACACAATCAATATACGCAGCAATCTAATTCCGATAGACAACAACATCTATCAGAGAGTGCAGCTGCACTTTACCGACTCTATATACAAACACTCAAGCACACAAATCAACCTCATCACATATCCACCACACTATCCACATCCAGCACACACAAACAATCAATATCGCTGAGGTCCAACCCGAAAAACCAGAGAGATTACACTCTGTCGGTGTGATACACAGCTCTATATTTACGCCCACTTAACATAATGTATCATGGGCGACAACAACTCACTCACCACTCACTAAACCACCACCAACAATAACACAACACAACGTCAACATTCATTCAATCACACTTTAAGTTAAACCATTCACTACACTACACTACACTACACTACACTACACCACACTACAAAACCAAATCCTCAATCAACTAACTACAACTACCACACACACACATTCAATTAACTCTACTGAACAAACAAACAACCAATCAACAAACCGACAATCCCAATCTCATCATCTCGTCACAATCAGCATTATTCACACGCACTATCAACACATACATACATGTCTACCCTCGATGATGGACTGCCACAGTAGTCACCAAAGGCAGTAAGAGGCAAGGGTAACACACACAATCAATATACGCAGCAATCTAATTCCGATAGACAACAACATCTATCAGAGAGTGCAGCTGCACTTTACCGACTCTATATACAAACACTCAAGCACACAAATCAACCTCATCACATATCCACCACACTGTCTACATCCAGCACACAGAAACAATCAATATCGCTGAGGTCCAACCCGAAAAACCAGAGAGATTACACTCTGTCGGTGTGATACACAGCTCTATATTTACGCCCACTTAACATAATGTATCATGGGCGACAACAACTCACTCACCACTCACTAAACCACCACCAACAATAACACAACACAACGTCAACATTCATTCAATCACACTTTAAGTTAAACCATTCACTACACTACACTACACTACACTACACTACACCACACTACAAAACCAAATCCTCAATCAACTAACTACAACTACCACACACACACATTCAATTAACTCTACTGAACAAACAAACAACCAATCAACAAACCGACAATCCCAATCTCATCATCTCGTCACAATCAGCATTATTCACACGCACTATCAACACATACATACATGTCTACCCTCGATGATGGACTGCCACAGTAGTCACCAAAGGCAGTAAGAGGCAAGGGTAACACACACAATCAATATACGCAGCAATCTAATTCCGATAGACAACAACATCTATCAGAGAGTGCAGCTGCACTTTACCGACTCTATATACAAACACGCAAGCACACAAATCAACCTCATCACATATCCACCACACTATCCACATCCAGCACACACAAACAATCAATATCGCTGAGGTCCAACCCGAAAAACCAGAGAGATTACACTCTGTCGGTGTGATACACAGCTCTATATTTACGCCCACTTAACATAATGTATCATGGGCGACAACAACTCACTCACCACTCACTAAACCACCACCAACAATAACACAACACAACGTCAACATTCATTCAATCACACTTTAAGTTAAACCATTCACTACACTACACTACACTACACTACACTACACCACACTACAAAACCAAATCCTCAATCAACTAACTACAACTACCACACACACACATTCAATTAACTCTACTGAACAAACAAACAACCAATCAACAAACCGACAATCCCAATCTCATCATCTCGTCACAATCAGCATTATTCACACGCACTATCAACACATACATACATGTCTACCCTCGATGATGGACTGCCACAGTAGTCACCAAAGGCAGTAAGAGGCAAGGGTAACACACACAATCAATATACGCAGCAATCTAATTCCGATAGACAACAACATCTATCAGAGAGTGCAGCTGCACTTTACCGACTCTATATACAAACACTCAAGCACACAAATCAACCTCATCACATATCCACCACACTATCCACATCCAGCATACACAAACAATCAATATCGCTGAGGTCCAACCCGAAAAACCAGAGAGATTACACTCTGTCGGTGTGATACACAGCTCTATATTTACGCCCACTTAACATAATGTATCATGGGCGACAACAACTCACTCACCACTCACTAAACCACCACCAACAATAACACAACACAACGTCAACATTCATTCAATCACACTTTAAGTTAAACCATTCACTACACTACACTACACTACACTACACTACACCACACTACAAAACCAAATCCTCAATCAACTAACTACAACTACCACACACACACATTCAATTAACTCTACTGAACAAACAAACAACCAATCAACAAACCGACAATCCCAATCTCATCATCTCGTCACAATCAGCATTATTCACACGCACTATCAACACATACATACATGTCTACCCTCGATGATGGACTGCCACAGTAGTCACCAAAGGCAGTAAGAGGCAAGGGTAACACACACAATCAATATACGCAGCAATCTAATTCCGATAGACAACAACATCTATCAGAGAGTGCAGCTGCACTTTACCGACTCTATATACAAACACTCAAGCACACAAATCAACCTCATCACATATCCACCACACTATCCACATCCAGCACACACAAACAATCAATATCGCTGAGGTCCAACCCGAAAAACCAGAGAGATTACACTCTGTCGGTGTGATACACAGCTCTATATTTACGCCCACTTAACATAATGTATCATGGGCGACAACAACTCACTCACCACTCACTAAACCACCACCAACAATAACACAACACAACGTCAACATTCATTCAATCACACTTTAAGTTAAACCATTCACTACACTACACTACACTACACTACACTACACCACACTACAAAACCAAATCCTCAATCAACTAACTACAACTACCACACACACACATTCAATTAACTCTACTGAACAAACAAACAACCAATCAACAAACCGACAATCCCAATCTCATCATCTCGTCACAATCAGCATTATTCACACGCACTATCAACACATACATACATGTCTACCCTCGATGATGGACTGCCACAGTAGTCACCAAAGGCAGTAAGAGGCAAGGGTAACACACACAATCAATATACGCAGCAATCTAATTCCGATAGACAACAACATCTATCAGAGAGTGCAGCTGCACTTTACCGACTCTATATACAAACACTCAAGCACACAAATCAACCTCATCACATATCCACCACACTATCCACATCCAGCACACACAAACAATCAATATCGCTGAGGTCCAACCCGAAAAACCAGAGAGATTACACTCTGTCGGTGTGATACACAGCTCTATATTTACGCCCACTTAACATAATGTATCATGGGCGACAACAACTCACTCACCACTCACTAAACCACCACCAACAATAACACAACACAACGTCAACATTCATTCAATCACACTTTAAGTTAAACCATTCACTACACTACACTACACTACACCACACTACAAAACCAAATCCTCAATCAACTAACTACAACTACCACACACACACATTCAATTAACTCTACTGAACAAACAAACAACCAATCAACAAACCGACAATCCCAATCTCATCATCTCGTCACAATCAGCATTATTCACACGCACTATCAACACATACCC